GGGAGTGTCATATATCAATCTGTTGATTTCATTGGTTAAGTTATAATAAACCAACTGCTTGGCCTCAGCTTAGAACATAGATGGGAGGAGTAAACAGAATAGAATTCTGGGCGGAAGAGGAAGTGAGGTCAGACTCTGCTCTGCTCCCGGAGAGACCCGACAGCTCTGCTGGAGCAGAGACACCATGCTCAGCTCTCCCAGGCAGATGCACACAATGAAGCTCCTCCAATCCCGGATGGATGTAGGCTAGAATCTTCCCGGTAAGCGCACCTTGGGGTGCTTACACACATCATTAGAAATGGGCTAGTCCAGGTGAGAGAATTAGCCTGTAAGGGTTAGAGTTCATGGGTCAAGCAGTTCTTAAATGAATACAGTTTGTGTGTTGTTATTTCGGGCATGAGCTAGCCAAGCGGCCAGGGTGTTGGGGACGCAGCCCTGCCACCGCTCATATTTCAACAAATCATCACAGAGATATAAGTTGAAACCACAAAGGAATAGTGCTTATCACATACTGAGACATATTTCGAAATGACAATAGATGACCATACTTATAAACCAGCACTTGGGGGACTGAGGCAAGAAGATTATGAGTTCAAGGCCACCATCCAGCCACTGAGGGCCCTGATGCGAAGAGAACGATACAGGATTTGGTGCAGACCTAGAACAACAGGAACTTGATTGCTCAAGGGATACAAACCGGGGCAGGCAAATAATTTACATGTTTCTTTCTAGATCTCTTCCAAACCAAAGTGTGTGCACTAGAGCACCAAGGTCTTCATAAGCAGTGTTTGCAGCATTGTTATTTAGATGATGCCGAGGGACAAAAACAGACAGAATGCCTACTTTGGGATACAGTTTATATAAAAGCAAAACTAAACTGCAAGATTGGAGAATAGAAGAGCACTCACCCTTAGGGGGCGGACAGGGGTGAAGCTCACAACGGTTCAGGGATGATGAGACCATTCTATTTCCAAGTTTACCTTTGTAAGAGCTGACTTAACTCTGTGTCATATTTTATCAACATTTATGTGGTATATAAACATTAAGTATTAAAAATAAACACCAGAACGTCAATATTATTGTGGAAACTATTGTTATGAGGGAAATACTGAATTAAACCAAGCAAGGCATTATCCTATTCTCTAAGAAGTCATTTTGTAGATTATATTGCAAGGCAAGCTTTTAAAGTAAATAAAATAAGAAAATACAAGTCACGTACAGAAGAAGATTGGCGCATAATAAAAAGGAGAAGAGTAGCTTGTCCTTCTCGAACAGTGATCGACAAATGTTGCAATATAAGTTGTATGTGAAGTGGTCATTCAAATACCGCAGGCGCTTTTCCAAAATTTTGGATTTGTTACTAAAACGTTAAAAAAAGAAAAATATGTTATCAAACCAAAATAGGAAAAATAAGCAACATGAATTAACTTATAACAAAATGTTTTAAATTTATTGAAGTACTCTTCACTAGAAACATTTGAATCACTCATAGACAAATGTTAAACTTTTCAAATCTGAGTATTTGCTAAGAGTCCTAATTCCTCCATATCGTAACTGAAACATGTAAGCAACATTTACGTCAGTTCTTCATCTTGACATTCCTCCGTCACAAGCACTGTGTAAATTCACATTCTAAGCCACAATTGGGAAATTTTAGGGATTTTGATTATTCAGGAGACATTGTTCTACCAAGAGCTCACATAGAAGAAACTCCTTACGGTACACATGTGAGCTCAAGTCCCATGTTTATTCTGCTCAGTAAGTGTCGAACTTACCAAATACAAGATGCTGTTCTCAACACTCTGAAAACATCTCACTTAATTCCCAGAGCAACCGAAGGAGACAAATATAATTATTATTCCTATAGAAAGGGTAACTTACTTTCCTATAGTCTTGTAGCTGGTGTGAGATAAAACGGAGATCGGAAGACCCTAAAACCTGTATATTGTGACAGCTAAACTGGCTGTCAACCTGATGGATTTAGGACCTTGTTGTAAACTAACCTCTGGGAAAATCTGGTTAATTAAAATGGGTGGTACCATCCCTTGGGCTAGAGAAGGATTAGATCTGTCAAGGATTCTTTTTGGACTATGTTAATTGAAATAGGTTGTACCCTCCTATGGGATAGAGGAGGAAGCGAACTGAGCCCCTCACACCCTTCTGCAGTCCTTCCTAGCTCAATGGACCTACAATTGTGAGCTAAAATAAACCTCTCCTTCTTTAGGTTGCCTATTCCAGGTATTTTGTCCTACAACAAGGAAAGTAACTAATGCATTTCTTAATCAATTAAAGCGAAAATATCTAGGGAATAAATAGAAATGTGGTATAGCCTTTTAGACACCTCAAAGCGGGAGCATGAGACATTAAAACTGTCAGCTAAAAGAAATCCTGAAGCCAGGTGGTGGTGGCATATGCCTTTAATCCTAGCACTTGGAAGGCAGATACAGGCAGATCTCTTAGTTCGAGGCCAGCCTGGTCTATAATGTAAGTTCCAGAATCGCCAGGGATAAACAGAGAAACCCTATCCTGGAAAAACAAAAAAAAAAAAAGGAAGAAAGAAATGAAGAAAAGAAGGAAGGAAGGGAGGAAGGAAGGAAGGAAGGAAGGAAGGAAGGAAGGAAGGAAGGAAGGAAGGAAGGAAGGAAGAAAAGACTTAAAAGATAGAAAGAAGAGCCAGGTGTGGTACCACATACTTTAATCTCAGCACTCAGGGAACTAGAACAGAACAATTGCCAGAAGTTTGAAGCCAGCCTGAGCTAATAGCAAGTACTAGATCAGTCAGGGCTACATAGTGAGACCATTTCTGTATGTTTAAATCTTAGGAACACGAAACAACCTTTTAAGTCTTTCTCTTTTACTTCCCCACACTTAATATTCTATAATGAAAATACTAAAGAAGTAACTGGAAACAATTAGATTTTTTTTTAATGGAAAGGATGGTGAAAAATCCAACCTAGGGAGAATGGTTGAAACTAGAAATCTGCTTACCTGTCATGAATAGAGTTGATATAGAGGTTCACAAACCAGATGAGAGAGTATTGGTACATGGGATCAATGTTAGCCAGGTCTGCAATGCTAAAGAATAACACTGATGAATGTTTAGCGATGGGTCTATAGCCTTCCCGGGACTCTGCTATTTTGAGTTCTGTTTTTTCTGCAACCTGGTAGAAGAGAAAAATCAAGATGAATGAATAGGGAGTGTCTTAATCATTTATTTTTCATATAACAAATTTTATATAACAAATTACATGAACTCAAGAATATACTTTAAGTACATTCTACAAGAGAGGAGTTTCTTCCTAAAAGAAAGGAAAGGGAAAAATCACGGAGGAGGGAGAGGAAGGGGAAAAGGATGAGCTTTATACTAGAGATTGACAGTGCGATCGCCCACCAACCACGACTCTCTCATCTGAAGAACGTTAGTCCTCAATCTCTGCCCGCGTCTAACATGTGTCTATCAGTTATCTATCCTCTTTTGCTTTAATAGGTCAGAGGCAGGAGGAGAGGGGAATAGAGAACAGTGTGCACATGTCCATGTTGAAGATACTACCGTGGGAACTAAAGCTCAGGACAAACTCTATCTAATAGTGGTTTCACATACACTCACAACACTTTTCTCAATTAGTTTCTCACACACTTAACTTCTTTGCAGTTAAATATTGCCATAGATATCCAACCCAGTCTGCTAGGCTGATAGTCACTCTATGGGAAAATGCTTAGAACACTGCCCCAACCTACCCTACGGTTTCCTATCAACCAGTTGATGGGTGGGTTTGCATATGCAGCCTTGATTCTGTAGAATAATCCCTTTTGTCGTTGTTCAGTCAGGTGACCCAAGAGAATTAGAACTTCAGTCAGGTGGTGATTGTCATAAGTGCTAGCGGATAACGGGAAACTTTCTGTGTTGTTTTCTACATCTTAGATAAATGCATACAGAAATGAAGACAGAAGTTTTGCAGAAGAAACTGATCTTTTGATAGTGTACAGAAGCATAGAAGAACCACATAACCCCACTAAGGGAAGAGATAGTGTGTAAATTCAGTGTTTCTGTTCATCCTTCAGCCCTTGATACACTTCTTATCATAGGAAATAAAATATTCTGATGTAGAATTTTTTATTTTAGCTAGTCTAAATGGAGTTCTATTCTTTGTCAAGTTTCCCCCAAATTGATAAAATATAATCACAAATGGCCTGAAAGTTCTGAACCTCAGTCTTGATTATAAGAAGAAAAACAAAGTTAACAGCAATTGAGAGTTAACAGTATTTTGGGCGAAGAAACGCCCACCCCTATGGCCACCTTTCCTCCTCTCTTCCACCTCCAGTTTTGCTTTTTGTCAGTGCAACCCTTGGGCAGGTGGTCCTGTGGTGCAGAAGAAATCAAACTGAGCAAGTCATGGAGGATAAGCCCTGCCTCCAGGTTCCTGCTTTGGTTAACCCTGATTATGGACCGGAACCTGTGAGCCAAATAAGCATCTCTTTCCCAAGTTGGTTTCGGGCAAGTGTTTCATCACAGCAACAGAAGTAAACCAGGACATCTCTCCTCTGCTAATCAGTGTGGTGGTGGGGATGATGGGTTCATCAGTTTCCTCTGCTCTGATAAACAAGAATTGGGAAGACAGACACCACAGGGTATCTCGGCCATGCTCTCAGATGTGGGCTGCCATAGAGTATTTATCTATGACATTGCCTTTTTGGTTCCTCAAAAAACGTAAGATAAGGAACCAAATACCTGCTAGAAAAAATCTTTATATTAGTATAAAACCAAACCTCTTGGACATTTGTCCCCGAGTGGAGCTGCGCTGGAAGGGGAGCAGAGGGAAGAAGGTGAGTGATTAACACAGAGGTTTACTGTAAGAATCAAGTGACAGGGGCTGCAGAGCTGACTCAGTAGTTAAGAGCCCTAGGTGCTCTTGCGAAATACCTGGGTTCACTTTCCAGGACCCAGACAGCAGCTCAGAACTATCTAAATCCAGTTCCAGGGAATCTGATCCTCTCTTCTGGTCTCAGAAGGCACTAGGCATGTATGTAGTACACAGATATACATGTATACAAAAACACTCATGTATATGTATATGTATATATATAGACAAATCTTTGAAAAATTTTAAAATTATTAAGAATATTTTTAAACAAAGAGAAAAGAATATAAAAGTTTTAAAGGTCCCTAACTGAGATGGTGAGATGGCCTCGGTGTTAAGAGCACTTCCTGACAACCTGAGTTTCTCCCCAGACCACATGTAAAAAGCCAGAAGAGGTGGTTCCCATCTGTAACCCAGAACTTCTATGGCAAAGTGGGAGGCGGAGACAGGAGAATCAGCTGGAAGTTTGTGATACAGAGGAGCAGCAGAAGCAACAAGAAAGACCCAGCTTCAGTAATGCAGGAGGAGGAAACCAGTTCCAGAAAGCTGGCCTCCGACTTGCATGTGTGGAAGCCCTATTACTTGCGTGTCCCGTCTCATAGACACATCCTTGGGGGGAAAGAGATGCGCTATAGAAATGGCCCCTGCCTGTGTGATGAATTAGGAATACATTATCAGCTGTAGACCACCTGCCTCCTTCCTCCACTGTCCTCTTTCTCTCTCCTCCCTCCCTTCCCCCATCTCCAATAAGCCCATGAGTGACAAGCTGATGTCAGAACATCCCCTGTTGGTTCTAAGAATCACTTATTGCTTGGTCAGTCAGGACTTTTCTCCACATACCTCAAACTCCAATCACTAACTGGGCAAGACAACTTTTACAGTTTTTAGATGAAGAGAACTAAACTAAACCAGCCCGATAGACTGCACACACAGAGAACACCTGTCTTTCTCCTGTGTACAGATAATGTGTGGATTGAACTAAGTTTAGGTAAGTTCAGCAGTAAGATATCTTCTAAGCTTACAACTAGTCTCTAGGTTTTCATATTTTAGCAATTTTTTTTCTTGAAAGCCTACTACAGCATTTCCTTAGAGACTAGAAACAAATGGGAATGTTAGAATCCAAACTTTTCTAGGAGTCGTTTTTTTCACCTGCTGCTTCTTCATTATCTCGTTAGACATTATTTTGGCAGAGTCTAAGACTTTTATTGCACTTTCATCTTCCAGAATGTTCCCTTCTGAAGACGACAATGTTTCCAGAATCCTCGTCTCTATGTCTTTCAGCTGCTTCTTATTAGCTGCAGACTGAAGAATAAGGGCATTCCGTTCCTCCTCTAATTCTGGTCTAAAACAGACAGAAACATCTGCTGTAAATTTGTAACAATTAACCTAATTTATACCTAAATATCACCTATAACATTTTGGGACTATTTGTATCATCTTATAGCTGTAACAAAAACTAACCAAGTTTATTATGGTAAGGGGAACACTTGCATACCGTGATGGCTCATTTCACGGGTCAATGTGGTATACTCTAGACCTGCCTGGGAAGGGAGCCTCAGTGAGACCCTGAACCATGAAAAGGAGAGAGAGAGAGCTGAGGGCAGACAGGCATGTATCTATCGCTCTCTTCTTCTCATAGCTGGTGTCATGTGACGTGCTCATCCATTCTCTCGCTGCTGTGACTTCCTTGCTAAGGACTATAAACGAACCGTGAGCTAAAGTAAACCCTGTCTCTCCCAACTCCTTTTGTCAATGTATTTGATCATAGCCATAGGAAATGAGAAGGCTCATACAAATATTGAGTTGAGAAGTTTAAACAAAGTAAACATCATTTGCATGCTTAAAATGTGAATGTATTAGATAAACTCTTATGGCATAGCTGGTCACATACAGGGAAATAAAAAGACTGCAAGGAGGAGTTTATTCATTCTTTGCTTTGTCATCAGTAACTCTTCTAAAATAACAGTCACAGGAAGAAGGACTGTTCCTCCTGGCTTTTTTAGTGAAAGGCAAAATTTGCATTAAGCATTAATGAGCAAAAATAGGATCAAAATTTTAAATAATACCATCTGGTGTAGAGTGTGCTATAACATAGGTCTTGTTCATAGTTAAAGTTTTGAAGTTAGCAAAGCTACTTTTATATACTTGTAATTTGATCTCACTCAACGGACCACTTAATAATGTCATATTAATCCTCAACTAGAATCAATTATTTTCTTTCAGAGAAGTTTTTTTTTTCTTGCAGCTTTTCTGGGTATTGTTATTTTTTCTTATTTGAAAAACAGTGCATTTTAGTAACAGAAAAATACCAAAATATCAATAAAACCATAAAATTGCCTATGCTCTTACGTACTAAGCAAAATAACTGCTAATATTCAGGTATATTGTGTCTTAATCTTTTCCTTTCTTTTTTCAGTTTTGAATACAGAGAGATTCATTCATCAATTTTTTTAAAATACAATATTACTTATACTACATATGTAGTTTTATATCCTGTTTTCACATCCTATCCCAAGCATTTCTAAATTTAATACTCTGTATGGAAGTCTTTGAATACATATTTGATTATATCTATGACCTATATTACTATGGGCAAAATTTCTAGGTCAGTTTGATAGAAGTCACAGTATGTATTCTGAATCTCATCTATAATAAAAGGCCAATATAACATGACCTGGCCTAAAAGTTATTACTGAAAGGCCATTTTAAAGGATTATATAATTGCTTTACTTATAATGACAAAACATAAACTTTAGTCTTTCCAAAATAGTTACAAAACAAAAATGCTAAAGGCTTACAGATATTCTCTAAACCACATACCTCTCCTTTGCAACAACAATGCCAAGTAACTGGTCTTCAAGCCCTTCCGGTGTTATCATGAAGTTGAGCAAAGACACTTTTGTGGCCAGCTCTGGCATGTAGTGTGGGTTTCTCAATTTTGTGGTGATATAAAACTTAAAATCAAAAGAATATTCAATAATGACTTCACCAAGTCGGATGCAATCAATACCACCTATATTTCAGGAAAAAAGCAGATAATCGATGAGCCAAAGTTACTTAGTCTCTTTTCCTATGTACTCATAAGGCCTCACCTAAGCTATAAGCAAAGAGACCTAAGCAGGCTGGAAGAGAAAACAGAGGACAAATGCAGTGGGGTAGAGACGGGTAAGCAATGACACAGCAGGGCTCATCCTGGAACAGCACAGACATCGTCTCCCTTGTCATGGACTTTTGTAGATCAAGATACTTTTAGAGTTTTTTCTATCAAATTTTAACTGTGATTCCAAAATTTTTGTATGATTAAAGCTCACCAATGCTCATCAGCAGGAAGCTACTTCGTGGGTAATGTTTACCTGTGTCCAACTCTGGCCCACACTCTTGTCATTACTCAGAACTAAGTCCCAATCTTGACTTTCTGAGGTCAGTGATCATAAGATAGGGTTTTCTTTGTCTGGCTTCAACTGTGTCATGCTCTCAACAGTACTGGCTAAGGCAAAGAAGGAGGGCAAAGTGCTGATCTTAGGGTACCCGGTCGAGGTCACTCTGAAAGCTGCTCTCTTTGCCTACATAATAATGCTATAGGAGTTCTACATCATCATCATCATTAAGCTTATGTATTGTTTTTCTTTCATGCCTCAAAATAATCCAATCATTTAGTTCTACCTTGTTTAAAAGTTTGTCTAAGTAACAGCGGCTCCAAAGAGGGGTCCAGCTCTTCACCAACATTTTCCAGCAGGAGTGGACTTCCAAACTGAATGCAGTTCTCCAGAGTTCTCATGTAGTCCGTATCTGAGAGCTTAATAACACTAAGCTGGTTTTCTTTCTCAGAGTTCTTGATCCACTTATTGGCTTGACCCTGGGGGTCAATCATTAAAGGCCTAGAGATTAAGAAGAAAATTACAAGAGGAACACATAAATGCCGCAATTTCTGAAAATCTATTCAATTTAATTAAATGTTGCCATCAGCTGTTACAAAATATTTTGCATCAAGATTTATCTTCACAAAATCGCTATGATTATTTATGTATAGGTATGTAACAATAATAACTAAAGAAGAGGTCATGAATTTGCCAGAGAGGGGAGCACAGGAGGAGGAGAAGGGGGAGAATATACAGTATATAATACGCACACACACACACACACACACACACACACACACACACACACACATACACACACAGTGTTTATATATGCAATGCTTAAAAATTTAAATTAAAACAAAGAGTAGAAAAAATGCCCCTGGCTAAATTGGGTGTCACAAAGCAAAAACAAAAAGAGGGGAATGTACGATGGTGGGAGGAGCTGGGGGGGAGTGGTGGTGGGAGGAGCTAGGGAGGAATGGTAGTGGGAGGAGCTAGGGAGGAATGGTAGTGGGAGGAGCTAGGGAGGAATGGTGGTGGGAGGAGCTAGGGAGGAATGATGGTAGGAGGAACTGGGGGAGGAATGGTGGTGGGAGGAGCTAGGGAGGATTGATGGTGGGAGGAGCTGGGGGGGAGGACTGGTGGTGGGAGGAGCTGGGAGAGGACTAGTGAGAGAGGACAGTAAAAGGATGAGTGGGACCAGAATATATTATATACATTTATGAAATGGTCAAGAGAATAATTTTAAAAATAAAAAAGAATTTTATTCTTATAAATGAAAAAAATTCAGTCTCACATTGGCCCAAATTCCAAGATTCTAAAACTAGACCTAACTAGTGTTAGACGAACTAGGAATTTGTGTCTGTGAGCTGTGCTGTTTCCAATAACATTGACATCACAGCAATCTTAACACATGGCATCAGTTACTGTAATGTGAGAAATAACGGTACAAAATATTTGCTACAAGTTTAATATAAAAAATACACCAGCTAATAAATGAATCTTACAAGTTTGTGAGTGAAGCTGTGTAGAGCGAGAGCCCACACCTAGCATATATTAAAATCTATTTAGGAATGCTTTTCTAGGACAGTAAATAAAAGCTTTGTGTTTGATAATGTAAAATTGGTGGAGCGACGGCTCAATGAATGAGAGCATTTGCTGCTTCTGCTGAGGACCCATGTGGTGGCTTACAAGTGCCTGCGGCTCCAGTTCCAGGGGACCAAACACACTTTTCTGGCCTCTACAGGCAACTAGGCATGCATGTGGGTCATAGAAATACATGCAAGCAAACATTCATGCACATAAAATAAATAAACCTATTTTTTAAAAGAGTATATAATTAATTAGGAGAGAATAGAACAGTGGCTACTCAACCTGGGACCTGCTGGAGAGTGGAGGCTGCAGAAGAGAAATGGGTATTATAATCAACTTTAACATGAGGAGCAATTTCTAATATTTAGAAAATTACTCTCTTTGAAAAAGAGTCTCTTTAGTGGTTATTCTGCCACATTATTATTCAGTTTTAAATCCTCTCATTTCTTTTTTTGTTTGTTTGTTTTTGTTCTTTGAGACAGGGTTTCTCTGTAGCTTTGGAGCCTGTCCTGGAACTAGCTCTGTAGACTCGAACTCACAGAGATCCGCCTGCCTCTGCCTCCCAAGTGCTGGGATTAAAGGTGTACACCACCACTGCCCGGCTAAGTCTTCTCATTTCTAAAGCATGCCGTGATTATACTCTTGGGTTCTCACATTCATCTGAGTGAATATGGGGTACTATCTTAAGTACCGCACCACGTCCTCATAATATCCTGATTTAGGCATAATTATTGCCCCATTTTATAAATAGAGAAGCAGGCAAGAATGGTTTAGAAATCTTTAATTTGATAGGATAACTGAACAAATGGTGGACTCATAAATGCTGATGTGTTATGAAATATAATCCTCCCTGAAACAATGTACGCATATATGGAGTAACATGAATGAATTTGAAAACATTTCTGCCGAGAGGAAGATGTTTCATATATGTTTCAAGAAGTAGAGATGATGTTCTATAACAGGCATAAATAATATACATTGAGAAGTAATTGGAATGATGATTTCGTGGGTGGGATGAGAATAGGAAAGGAATTTAAAGGAGGTATCTAGGAGGTAGCCTTGCCCTGCATCTGGATGTATGCACAGGTGTTTACTCTTCTGAACTCACTAAATGGTACATTTGAGTTTTCCTATTTTGTAATATATAATTTTTTTTACCTCAAACAAAAAATACAAAAGCTGATATTGATATAGTCGACAATATGCATGTTGGAAGTGGCTAAGGGGAAAACACCTATCTGCAGCTCATCGGTAAATACATTTAGAAAGATGGGTTAGCAGAGATCTAGATGGATTCGTGATTAAGCAGCAAATAAAACACAGTGGTAACCGTAGAGTCTAGGGGTGACTCATCACACGGGTGCTTCTGTATAAGTCTTTCAACTTTTAAAGATTTTTGAAGACTTCCACATAAATGCAAGGAGACCCGTTATGTTCCTTACCATCGTCTGGAATTATTAACAATCACACCGTTGTCTATGGAGAATGCATCTGTTGGCAGCCCGGCAATATTCCAAGCTCTAATTTTTACTGGGTCACCCAAGGTTTTGCTCAGCGAGAACTCCTCTGAACATGGGATTTTTTTCTCCTGTAAAAAAGAAACAAGAGTCTGATGGTCTTTTTCACATTACTAATTGAAAAATTAAGTTAAAATACATATTTAATTGCTATAACTAAAGATTGTAAAAAACTGCATTGAAAGTTGGATTTTGAGAGTATTTTACAAGTTAAAGAAGAGGAAGGAAGGAAAAGAGAGAGAAATTTTCCATATTTTTAGTGTTCTTCCTTTCACTGTCTTAATCACCATCACATTTCCCAAATACACATAGAATTCTGTTCTAAAACAAAATTTACTAAGCGTAAACCTGGTACCTTGCACAACATGCTCCAGTTTTCTGTGCACTCTTGTCGGAATCCAGAAGTGAAAGCACCAAGGTAAGCTATTACTCCTGCTGACACTAGGACATCACCAGTTAAGTTCTCATATGTTATCTGAAGGTCACTGGCAGCTTGAGACCATCTGTGCAACAAACCAAAGGCAAAACCAAATAATAACAGACGGTTGTATGGGAAGGGCTGGCTGGAGGGAAGGCTCGGTGGTTAAAAGCACTGGCTGCTCTTCTAAAGGACTAGGGTTCAGTTTACAACGTCCACATGGTAGCTCGTATCTATATGTAACTACAGCTCAGGGGATCCAACACCCTCTCCTGGCCTGCACAGGTACCAGGTATGTATGTGGTGTACAGACATACATGCAGGCCAACAAACAGATAAATAAAATTAAACCAACAATTACCACTTAGATTAAAAACTGTTAAAATTGCGTTTTCTTTTCTCCTCCTTTCCTCTCTGTTTTTTTTAAATTATTATTTTTGGTTTTGTTTTTGAAAACAAGTTATAAATACTATCCTCAACACTTATCTTGCTCCTTTGGAGAGTCCCAGCCAGGTGCTTGACAACATGCCTGCTCTTCTCAGTCAGCCACTGTAACTGTGACCAACAACCAATAATTGTCCCCCCTCAAGCCTGTTATCCTTAGCTCTTGTAGAAGCGGCAGGCTCTACCTTGATTTCTCTCCTCCCAGTCCTCCTATTAGCCTTGAGGCACGTTCCAGCTTCTTAGCACACAGTTCCACCTGATCTTCCAAAGCTGCCTTCTCCTCTGTTTTCTCGAGAAAAATCTTCTGTAAATTTTCCAGATGATGTTCTACTTCCACAAGTTCTGCCCTCTTCTGATTCAAAAGCTCCATTGTCTCAGCTAAGGACTTTTGCGCCTCTGATAAGCGAGCTTTCTTAGGAGCCACCACCTGTTTGGGAACAATATGCAGATACTGTGTGTTCTATGTAAAAGTTAGATGTTATGGGTCAGATATGGGATATAACAATAAATTATACATAATAAGTATTTAAATCTTACATAAAACAAAAATACCTATATACTTCAAAAATATACAAATCATTTGGTTTTGTAAACTATAGTATGTAAAAAAATTACAAGGCATTTTAATGTAAAGAGTATCACAATATACAGCAATGTGTTTTAAAATAATGAGAAGTTGCCAATCAACTAAAAATGGGGAGAGGGAGCCAGGTGATTTTGTTTCTTCCTTTTCGTTTAACTCGTTGATTGCTCTTTTGAGACAGATTCTTTTTTATGATTTTTATTTACTTTTTAAAATTTCATTTTACATTACAACCACAGTTCTCTCTCTCACTCCTCCTTCTGCCCCCCCTTTCCCCCCAGCCCACTCCCTATCCACTCCTCCCAAAGGGTGAGGGCTCCCATGGGGAGTCAACAAAGCCTGACCCATTAAGTTGGGGCAGGACCAAGCCTCTTCCCCCTGCCAAGGCTGAGCATGGCATCCCACCACAGGGAATGGGCTCCAACAAGCAAGCTCATAAACCAGGCATAGTTCCTGATCCTACTGCCAGGGGCCTCAGATAGACCAAGTTATACAACTGTATCCCATATGCAGATGTTGAAATAGGAGCGGCAGGGCTGCGTCCCCGGCACCCGGCTGCCCGCATGGCTAGTTTATACCCAGAAATAATTACACGGAAACTGTATTCTTTCAAACACTGTCTGGCCCGGCTAGGTCCAGTTTCTTATTGGCTAGCTCTTACATATTGTTCTAACCCATTTCTAATATTCTGTGTAGCCCATGAGCTGGCTTACCAGAGTGGATCTTAACCTGCGTCTGTCTGGAGTGGGAGCATCATGGCGACTCCTCCTCTAACCTTCTTTCTCCCAGAATTCTCTTCTGTATACTCCACCTACCTAATTTTCTGTCCTATGAGGGCCGAGGCAGTTTCTTTATTATTACAAGACCCACCTCCATCATGCAGAAGGTTTAGTTGGGTACTTTGGAGGCTCCACAGCTGTCAGTCTGAGTTCATGAGTTCCCACGAGCTTGGTTCACCTGTCTTGAACTTACCATCAAACTCATGACAAATTCCCTTGCCTCAGTCTCCCAAGCGCAGGTATTAGAGACATCAACCACCATACACCTGGGTTCTCGTTCTGTTTCTATTTAAGTTTTTTTTTTTTTGGTTTTAATGGTTTTTAAATTTTTATTTTTCTTCCTAAGTCTGTGGCCTTCTTCCAAGTCACACCAAGATCACGCTGGCCTTGGAGTGATTAAGACTATGATAGTAAAAATACAAAGACGGAAAAGTTTTGTAGTAAGCTTCACTAAGTTAAAATTTCCTCAAGAACTCTTAAAAAGACACTTTTTTGTTGAAGAGAAAAATGATTTTTAAAATTGCTATTTTTGTGCCCTTAGAATCTCAAGAATAAGCTTCAGTTAACTCTATCACTGAATCACGCCATAAGTCACTGGTACAAAAAATATTAGAAGATGATCAGAGAATCTGGGCCAGTCAGAAAGTGGGTAATCCCAGCCCTTCTGGAGTGTCACTGTAACTCACGGAGATACTAGTTAGAGGTAAAGACGGCAGTAAGAAACACTTAGCAGATTCAAAATGTCTCTTCTCTGGGCTAAAATTCTAAGGAAGAATGAAGATGCCAGAAAACTCCCCTTCCAGTTGTGACTTCCGAGGAGGCATTGCTAAAGTCTCTCCATCACCTTCGTGCTGCACTGGTATGAAAATGGCAAGCAGAGGTACACACAGGGAAGAAACGCTGTGGGCCTCTGGGACTGAACAGAACTGGGCGATGGCAGACCTGTCATGACCCTACTCCGTGGAGAGAAGGAAGTTCAGTAGGAGATCCTAGACAGAATCTGTTTTACTCCCTGAGCAGATCTACACAAGACTCTGCTCCATAAACTCAAACTCAAAAGCGCCTACCTCACTCTCAGCATATGCTAATGGGGGCAGCCTGGTCATTCTGTGCCTTGAGCTTATTCTAGTACACGCTACCAATGGTTCCATCTCTCCTTTAGCGTATGCTCCTCCTTTCCTGGGTATATTCAAGTGATGCCTGTGTTTTTATGTTCCTTTACTAGACAAATTTGTAAAACACTCTTAACTAAATTCTCTTGATTTCCCAGGAATCTGGGCCATTTGGATATCCCATTAAAAAAAAAAATCCCTGCTGAATTCAAGCCATTACTTCAAGGGATCTTCCTTCACTCTGAATTTAGCCATACTGGATCTTCTTACACCTGATGGATCAACTCACTTAGAACCTTTAAGATAATTTAAATTCTTAAGTTACATTTATTTATTTGTATGGGCGTGTCTGTGCATGTGTGCAGTATGGGTGCAGGCACAGCATGCCACAACATACATGTGGAAGTTAGAGGACAACTAGTTGAGTTTTTCCTCTTATCATATAGTCCCAACTAATGAGCAGACAAGAAAAATGTGCTATATTTTCATAATGGAGTATTATCCAGCTATTAAGGATAATGAAATTAGCCAGGCGGTGATAGCGCATGCCTTTAATCCCAGCACTCTGGAGGCAGGGGCAGGCGGATCTCTGAGTTCGAGGCCAACCTGGTCTACAAGAACTAGTTTCCAGGACAGGCTCCAATGTTACAGAGAAACCCTGTCTCAAAAACAAAAACAAAAACAAAAAAGAAAAGAAATTATTCTTAATTCTTAATGAATATTCTTAATGAATGAAATGGATGGAGCTAGAAATAATCATTGTGAGGAAGGTGAGCCAGACTCAAAAAGATGAAGGTAGTTACATGCTTTTCCTTCATTTGTAGGTGCTTTGAATCTTCAGATGTGTATGTTTCATTTGGAATACCTACAGAGGTCTGGGAATAAGTAAGAGGCCACGGGGTGGGGTAGAGTTGGACTTTCAAAGGAGGGGATATAGAAAGCACTGATTTAAAAGCTTAAAGGGGCCAGGCGGTGGTGGCACAAGTCTTTAATTCCAGCACTCGGGAGGCAGAGGCAGGAGGATCTCTGTGAGTTCGAGGCCAGCCTGGTCTATAAGAGATAGTTCCAGGACAGACTCCAAAGATACAGAGGAACCCTGTCTTGAAAAAGGGAACGAATAGAACAGAAAGGGTTTAAATTGAGGTAGGGGATGGAAGGGAAGGTTAGGGAAAGGAATACAAATTTTAACTCTAAAGACTTAAAAAATCATATAGAAACCTATTTACTACTATAGAAGCTTACATACTCTCTCTCTTTCACACACACACACACACACACACACAGAGAGAGAGAGAGAGAGAGAGAGAGAGAGAGAGAGAGAGAGAGAGAGAGAGAGAGAATATAATGCACTTATTGTACAGTGAGACAACAGTGGTCCTATTCTATTAGACAGTACAAGCTACCAGAAGTCCGGTGCTGTTTGGAGCTGTTGGTCAGTGAAGTCCCACAGACCTCCGAACACTACAGGCTGCTGCCAACACTATTGGTTACCCTCTAGGACTTAGATAAGACCCCTGCTGCTGAAGATACCATGCACGAACTTGGAGATTCCAAGTTGGCACTAACCCAGAAGCTCCATCCCATCGGCTACTTCTGCAGGGCTGGGAGGTGCTATGAAACCACCAGAGGGAGAAAGGAACCCTCAGTCTTACCCAGCTGTGAACCCGTGAGCTATAGTAAGGACGAGCCTTGGCGAGACATGACGCTGTGTAATAACAACAGAGAAATTATGGAATAACCAGCCACTTTCTGACTGGGTTTACGGCCCATTCCACAAGATGAAGCCCATGCATGCACTATTGTTCAGTCAAGAACTTGTGGCTAGGATCAAAGGTCTAGGGGAGAACTGTTAGTCTGCTAAATAAACAGTATTAAACCTAATCACTGACATATTTGTGGAGTGGTGTATCTCTCAGCCTTCATCAAGGAAGCTTCCATGCGCAGTAAATGATCATTAACAGAGACTCACAAATGACAGAGTATAAAAGCTGGCACAATACTTAGCTCTAAATTGGATACATATACTGTGCCTGCCCCTAAAACTTGGGTATCCTTACAGAAGAGGGGGCAGAACGATTCTAAGAGCCAGAAATGGTAAATGAGGAAAAGGAAGCAGTGTCCTCTGATACAACAGAGCAGCTTCTTATGTGAGCTCACAGCAGCCATGGCAGCGTGCACGAGCCCACCAAGCTCAAGCTTGGCCAGATCCCAGGATGAACAGGGGAAGTGGACATGAAATCCATTTCAGTTGAGGAGCTACTGGCAACTGAGAGCTACTGGGAGAGGGAGGGTCAATTTTCTTTAAGGGTGTTGCCACCAGGGGTTGGCCAAGCTCCGGTGGAAGACCACACATTTAAGAACGTATGGGCAGCACAAGCTGGACTTGATGGGTAGAAAATCACAAAGAGAACACAAAGTTGGGTGGGTGAGCAGGGGAGGGGAATGGATCTGTGAGGAGCTGGGGGAGGTGAATACAGTCAAAACTCGCTGAGTGAAATTCCGAAGGACCTAATATGGAATACATTTAAAACTTAAAGTTCACGTTTTTATTTAAGGGACTGTATGAGTTGGGATTGGGTGTGCATGTCCTGAAAATACCTTAGCGACTCGGTCATACACCTCCATGGCCATGATCCACTTGCACAGCCCCTCAGCTGCAGAAGAAGCCTTAGCAACCTTAGGGGGATCAAACTCGGGGTTTGTCAAATATTCACTGCGGATCTTCTGCATAACACTCACCTGTATGACAGAGATTTAGATTGTAAGACGAATGCACTCGTCACATAATCACAAAGAGGAAGAAAATCATAGGTAATGAAAACATTTAGATTTTAAAGAGTTACACTGAGGGCCCTTGAGATGACTTATTGGGTAAAAGACACTTGCCGCCAGGCCTGGTAATCTGGGTTCAATCGCTAGCACTCACATGACGGATGGAGAGAGCAATCCTTTGGCCTCTACCTGAGTGTCATGGCACACGTACCCACACTTATAACACACACACACTAAATAAATAAAATGATTTTTTTTAAAGTTATGTTGTTTTTAAAAGTAAAAATTTTGGGATAATTGTAAAAGTATAATTAAAGCAGAAACAAATATATTTATGATAAAAATATATAAATTTATAAATATTGAAGAAAGGGGCCTCTTCCAAATATGCTAACAAGACTGTGGATTGATAGAACATTTGAAAACAGAATAATTAACATTAATAAATAACAATTCAAATGGAAAATGTTACCTTCTTTATGTAAATATGAACAAGATTTTCTAATAAAGGAACTATTATATGAAGGTATTTAGAGAACTTTTCAAGTCAACAGTACACTAAAATAGGAATTTATTGACTTTCTAATAATCTGAAAGTGTTTTTTTTATAAAAATGTATTCTACAGCCATTAATAAATGTTACTATTCCGTTATCAATTATCTTAATCTCACAAAAAGATTATCTCCTTATGTCATATCAGACAGTGAATACTTTAAAGCTCTTTGACGTCAGGACAAAGTCGCATTTTAGAGAAGAAACTCCAATATAACTTACTGGAATATTGTCCTTGTCGTACTCTCTCAGATCTTTTAAGAAATTCATATCTCCCAGAAGTTTTTTGCTAGGTCCCCAGTAATCCAATATCTACAAATGAAGTTTATGAAAATGTACTAGTTATACAATTAAAAGCACATACTAGTCAGAAAAGCGTTTATATATTTTTAAAAATCGTAACTTCTTGAAAATAAAGGCCCATCCCATGCCAGATGTGGTGGTGCACACCTTTAGTTCCAGCGTGCTAGAAGGGGGCAGGTCGAGCTCTGTGAGTTCAAGGTTGGCCTGGTTAACTTGTACTTACAGTGTTCCAGGGCAGTCAGGGCTATGGGTAAAACCCTGTGTTTTTAAAAAAAAAATAGGAAGAGACTCTTCTCCCAAAAACATGTTAAATATGTAAAACATGATGTATTTTAAACATGGATATAAACTTAATATTAAAATTTTAATCATTGAACTGAAGGCTATATGTCACATTCTTACAATCTTAGCTACTAAATACAGGCCTCAGCACGTACTGACATAAGAACAGGAAGTCTGTATGGACAGAGAAGAAAATAGAAACAACTGGGACCACAGCTTTCTGATACCATATTTACTAGAATATAGACAGATACCATTTTCTGTAGTTAGTTATGAGTCCATTAAACCTGAAAAACAGTATTTCCCCCCCTGGATTACAGGTTGCTAGTGTTTAATTTGATAATGCTAAAACAAATTCTGTTTTGCCATTCAATAATATAATTTAATCTGTGCCCAGTTATTACCTTTCCCCCAGTTCCTGAAGGATCTGAAATTTTTTCTGGTTTTATATCTTTCATGACACAAACAGCAGCCATAACGAGTTTAACACCAGCTGGAGGATTCTTCATTGATTTCACAATTGTAATATCAGCTGGCTATATCAAAAGAAAAGAAGACATCCTTATAAAATAGCTTACTTTTAAATAATGAGAATTAAAGAAAAATAATGTTGGGGCTATGTATGGCAGTATTCTTCTATAACCTCAGAACTCAGGAGGTGAAGGAAAGGGTGATAAGCTGTGGCCAGCCTGGGTTACACAGTGAGATGCTATTTCAAAAATAAAAGCAAAAAGTAATTTTAGGAAATAAACATCTTGAGAGTGGAGCAGAGACCAGGCCTAAGTCCCTATGGAGACATGTTGAGTGCTAGGAACCCTCCAAAGAATCACTTGTAAAATGATGTAAACTAGCAATAAGCATGTGTTAGAACTACGATATGCCACCTGTCTATCGTTAGGAAAGATAGCACCGGGTGTCTTATTACCCCAGTGTCCTTCTGAGATGATTTCTGATATTGATCTCATCATGGATCAAGTGCTGGAAAGCTAGTGGGTATCTTGGTCCCTATGTGGTACAGGTTCCACTATCACAGCCCCCAGGTCTCACTAGAACTCACACAATGGGTGGTGTGAGGAATTTGTCTCACTGCTATGGGTGAGCGTGGAGTTCTGTAGACAAGGTCTGTGACTTCATTCTTGGAGAAACAGTTCCTCTCTTAGACCATTCTGTGGTTTGTCTTTGTGTGTTATTCTTAGAAGATCTTAAGATCTTCTATTGTTCTTTCAATAAATTGTTATTTATTCATAAATTTCCTTAAAACTTCTTGACTTCTTATACTAAATAGAATCAACTAGGGCCCTAACTCATGTTAATAATACTGCATAGCAGGAAATACACAGCAGCAGACTCTGACCAATGTCCTGAACTGACAGGATTTGAAGGGACCAAGATTCTTGTATTAGATATTAAATCTTAAAGTTCTTGGAACACAGTGATAAAATAGTTTCTTAAATAAATGGTCTTGGCCGGGTGGTGGTGGAACACGCCTTTAATCCCAGCACTAAGGAGGCAGAGGCAGGCAGATCTCTGTGAGTTCGAGGCCAGCCTGGTCTACGAGAGCTAGTTCCAGGACAGACTCCAAAGCTATAGAGAGACCCTGTCTTGAAAAATTAAAAAAAAAAAAGGTATTGGTTGCCTGGAATGATGTCTCTATTAAAAACAAGTTGTTTTGGGGGTCAGTTCTCAGCACCCACAGGATGGCTCACAATCATCCTTTACCCCACTCTTACAGTGGATCTGATGCCCTCTTCTTGCTAAGTTTCAAACCCAGGACAAATGGCTGAGGTGCCTACTTAACATATCAAAGTGGCCCTGGCAGCCAGGTTCTCGGGCATCCTTCAGTCCCTACCTATTATGTATGGTAGGCTGTATGGCTGGCATACCCTGGCCTCTGCCCTGAACTTTCCAAGCCTAAGCGCTGGGCTGCCCCTCCCTCAGGGGCTCTTCCCTACATAATCCAGATATTATGGTTACCCATCCTTTTATATCTTTGGCCTCCTGTCTGCTGCACTGGGTTCCCCTCTCCTGTCTCCTTCTTCCTTCCTGTCTCCCACATGTCCCAGCTCCGTCTGGTCATGTCCACTCTGGACTCTCCCACATGTCCCGGCTCTATCTGGTCATGTCCACTCTGGACTCTCCCACATGTCCCGGCTCCATCTGGTCATGTCCACTCTGGACTCTCCCACATGTCCCGGCTCCGTCTGGTCACGTCCATTCTGGACTCTCCCACATGTCCCTGCCTCTGACTGTGCTCTCCCGTATTTCTACAATAAGCTTTTCCCTCCACCATACCTAGGAGCAGTCATGTCTTTTCCTTTTCCTTTTTCATTCACTTCTGACCTCTGCAGGCACCAGACAGACATAGTACACACACATATGCAGGCAAAACACTCATACACATAAACTAAAATAACCCAAAAACAATTTTTAAAATATAAACAAAATCTTGTTAAATTCGTCTGCGGTGACAAACCTCTACAGGGAAAATATGTGCCACGTGACTTTTAAGTGTGGCAGGAAGCATAAGGAACGGTAACAATGGGCTCCGGGTGGTGGATTCTGCTTTGTTCTATAACAATTTCTAAGCTACACTGTTTATTGTACTGCTTGCAACCATACCAAAGTGACAATATGCCACTACAATTATGCAGTTTCATCTAAATCTTCACTACACTTCAGGTAAAAAAATATTGGGACACAATTTCAAAGAACTGATACTTTTCAAAATACAGCAAACATTTTCATTCATGCACAAGGAAAGGAAGTGTTCAAAGGGATCTGCAGCACAAGTCATTGCAGGTTACTTTGAGAGAATTTCTGCAGCCAAACATCTTTAACTTCGACCAATGGCAGTGCATCAGTACATTTAAAAATCCCAAGACCCCTTTTACTGGGCATGTTGCCCACGACAAACTATCATAATACTGTGTTTTTAGAGCAAAATATCTGAGTACCATAAGTTCCTTGGTGATTTGGTTTTCTTATGGAGATTAAAGATGGTTTTGTTGGGATAAATGCATCGCAGAATACAATCCAGTTAACCAATAATGCCCCTTTTTGCCACAGTCCAGGAACTTTTAGGACATTCACCCAACACTAGTTTTGTTTTCGAGGCCTTAGCCAGAGTTTTGAGGATTCTATCTGTGCACTGTGACCTTAAGTATATCTGTGAAAGCTGTTCTTTGACAGCCTAGATGAGAGAAGTTAATCGGATGAGCCATTTATCTAACACCCGATTGTTAGTTGAAGATATTGGTTGATTTGATCAATTTGACATTGAATGATGTTACGTAACATGTACTGCATCAGGAAGCTCTCCATATTAACTACATCTAACATATTGACTACATGCCTCCTGTGTAAGGCTCAGTTTTATGAACACTGGTGTTCATAAGAGTTTTGTAAAAGATCTCAGTGTGTGTTCTTATTATTGGATTGTTCATGATGTTGTGATTCATGTTAAGACTCATTTCAAATTCAGTGATATCAATATCCTGACAGCCATTGACTTGATTTGCCATTCCTAGAATTTCTGTATGGCTTGGTTTTCTGTGGATCAAAAGGATTTATTTTAAATTTCATTCCATTAGTATATTTGCTGAGACCAGATATTTGAAATGAGTTACAATTTTGACTTCCTGATTGATTATAATTCCCCCAAAGAATCAGCACATTCCTTTCTCTCCTCACCACTCAAGTGCGTTTTGCTAACACACTGTGTTGCCCTCACTGTGAGGGATGGCAAACTTGATGGGAAGAGACTTCACAGGGTGTCTTAAGGATTTTTGGTATCTACCTGTGTTCTCTGAACATCTGACTCTTCAAGGCAAACATTTTGAATGACTTCCACCAGCCCATGGCCATCTTTTCTATATTAGTCAGACTGTTGAGTTTATAGTTTTGCCAGGTCTCCCACATGGAAAGTTATGGTAATGATTAAAGAAGCAGGCAAAGAACAAGGTCTGGATACTCTCAGCCGCCCTGGTCAACAGGTCATGATTCTCCTGTTCTGTTGGGCGAAATGTTCTGGTTTTGCCTAAAGAGCTTTAACAGTCAAACCCGACACAATGTACAGTAGAAACTGCAACTCACTGCTGCATAAGATACAACTGTGGAGTTTTCTATGCACATATATCCAGGAAGCCGCAAAAGCAGCTACACATTTGATCTTCCCTTTCCTTCTGGCCCACGTGCAGAACCTCTTGGGCTTCACAAAGACCATTCATTGCATTTCCACTAAACTATCCTGATTGAAAATTATACATAACCAAGGAAAAGCAAATATGTAAATATAACAGTGTATCAAAGAAGAACTGTCGAGATGTAAGTTTCATTTAACTTGACAAATAAACAATATAACCCAATATAAAATAAACATAAAATAGAGTCATATAAAATTTAAAATGGAGCCATAGTCCATTAACCAAAGATGTGTATATTGCTTCCTTGTTGATGAAACCCAAGGTGGCAAACTCAAATACTTCCCTTAAGTGTGTCTAGCGCAGACAGAGCTGCCTCCAAGGCTGGGATCGCCTCCGCCAGATCACTCTCACACTCATTCTTCAGAGCTTGGGCTTCTTCTGCCTTCCCACTGGCTATCTCTTCATCCAATTTCACAAATTTTCTTTTTGCCTCTACTTGTGCAGACTCTATCTCAATAATCTAGAGAAAAGAAATAAGGTGAAAATAGAGACACATTTTTAAGTGGCCTATTGTTTCTTCAAGCCTAGGGACAAAAGACTGTTTGGGAATTAGGGAATTCAACACATCATTTTGAATAGGAGAAAGGTTTGTTAAGAAAAATTAAGTTGTGAAGTTTGAAGACAAATGGGTAGAGCCGGAAACAATCATTCTGAGTGGTCGGTCACCCAGACCCAGAAAGACAAAGGTCCTATATCTTTTGAGGATGTTATTTTTGAATCTTTAGATATGTTTGTCTCGTTTAGAATACCAACAGATGTCAGTAAATTAATAAGAAGATGGAGAAGGAATAGATTGCAAAGGAGTGAAGACAAAAGTAGTGATACAAAGGGGGAAAGAGGAATAATGGAACAGGAAAGGTCAAATGGGGTTGGGGATGAAAAGTCAGGTTAGAGGAAGAAATACAGGGAGAGATAATTAATACAGGGGGAGATAATTAACACTAGAGACTTTCTGAAAAGAAAACCATATGAAAAACTAGTATTGCGGAAGGCTCCTAAAATGTAAACATCCACATACACAGAGAACTTCAATAGATTTGCCCTATAATGATGCCCTATTTACCACAGGTTAACTAAAAGCTCAGAGTCAGGAATGTGCTACCTCGATAGGATTTGTTGGCCACTAAGGGCTCATACACACCCAGACATAACAGGCTGTGACAGAAAATTAAGACTTAGTTTCTTTTATTTTTTTATTTATTTTTCCATTCAAAAATTTACACTTCCTCCTCTTCTCCTATTCCCCTTCCACTCCCCCACTCATCCTCCTCCCTCCCCTCCCTAAGACGTAGTTTCAAGAGTAGTTTTACACACCTCAACTGTCCTTTGACATCAATAAAAATATTGCTTTCCTACCTGCATCATGCGTGCATTTTCAATTTTAGCCTCCTCCAATTTGGGCTGTAATTCAACAAGCTCCAGTTTCATTTCACCAACCTAAACAGACGGTTTGTCATTAAGTTTTCACTGCTGTAATAGGTGACATAGAAATTAGAGACTTAAATGCATCATAAAATTCTGGCCATGAGAAATCTTACTTTTTCCAGCTTTTTGCGTACTAAAATAATCGTGAGAGCATATCCAGTTCCTCTCACAAAAGGCTTTGACTATTTTAGGTATTTCACAAGGCACTGGGACAAGTGGCCATGGAGGAAATGAAACCATAGGAGAAGTGCCAGCTCAGGTACTCTCATTATACCATGACATACAAACAAAACACTAGTGAGTATTAATAGCACTGGACTCATTAGAAAAGGCCCACCTTATATTTAACATCTGCTACAATAGAAAGCCAAAAGAGATTTCTTCTACTCTCAAATGATAACAAATTATTTAAAAATAAAACAATGGATTTTTTAAGTCTCGTTTGGGCAACTTAATGAGTTTCTCTAAAACCTATTCATCTATAAAATAACGACCTACGAGTCACCACCTCTTGGAGTTGCTAAAAGAAAAACTGAAACAATGTGAGTGAAATACATAGCAGAACCTTGTACACATCTTACTGTCAGCCAACAGTAGCTATTGTTTTTGTTATTATTTTTTTTACATTTATCAGTATATATTATTATTTTGGACAGCTTATCAAGTTTACCTGAGACTCAGCAAAAGCTAACTGGTCAAGTCCATTCACGTAGCGTTGTTTTGCTTCCATGACAGCTTGCCGTTTCTTAGTCAACAGCTGCCGGAACGAGCCAATAAGTTCAAGATAAGAAGTAGCAGTGACATAGTTATGTCTTCCCAGCTCTTCTAAGAACCTAGAAGGGAGTCAGGCAATGGGCTACAGCATAAGTAATGGATTCCACAATGATGTAGATTCAGCACAGCATTAACCATAGGCGATTATGAATAAAGGTTAAAGTTTATGCAGAACATGCTAAGTCTTTTAACTTCATTAAACTCCAGAAATCTATATATAACCATATGCAAAGTCCTTATCTGAAAAAACATCAAATAATGACACATTTAAAAAGAATAAATCAACCAACAAAAATGTCTATAAAAGGTGAACTACAGCAAAAAAAATATATAGTTTTTATTTTTCTATGTGTCACACACCAGGAGGCTCTAACCTTGTTAGACAAGGTAAGACACTCAAACCATTGTGTGAGATGGGCAAGTGTCCAGAAAGGGAACTGCAAATGTGACAAGCATGAGTTACACTGTATGTTACATGTTGACTGAACGTATAAGGCCACACACATGAGATACATATGCCTTAAAGTAACTCTTCTGTATTACTGCTTCTAAAACATGCCTCCTTTCAACAGCTTCCTAGTTAACTCTACATCTTCCTCTTGCTCTTTACCCCACTGTTGCTGCTCTGCTTCTGATGTGGGAGTGATTTCTTATTAATAAAGAAACTGCCTAGGCCCATTTGTTAGGCCAACCCTTAGGTGGGTGGAGTAAACAGAACAGAATTCTGGGAGAAAGAAGCTGAGTCAGTGAGTCGCCATGATTCTCCCACTCCAGACAGACGCAGGTTAAGATCTTTCCTGGTAAGCCAGCTCGTGGAGCTACACAGATTATTAGAAATGGGTTAGATCGATATGTAAGAGCTAGCCAATAAGAAAATGAAACTAATGGGCCAGGTAGTGTTTAAAAGAATACAGTTTCCGTGTAATTATTTCGGGACATAAGCTAGCCATGTGGGAGCCAGGGCTGCCAGAACACAGCCCTGCCACTCCTTCAACATGCTTCTTCTGCTTCCTCACAGCCAAACTCTGGACAACTATAAGTTACATTCTCAGGGCCCGACCCATTCTCCAAACTCCAAAGAAGTAACTTAGTTTCTCACATATATACAATATATACATATGTGATATTACAGGGGATAAACACGGGAGGCAGACTACAGCACACTTCTTGGTACCACATTCCCAGTTACTCATACTGGATAACTGACTCTAGATCATCAACACAAGAGTACTTGAGTTCACATCTCTGAGACAAGGACATAGGGATCAATAGTTAGAATACACGATGGAGGTATCGACCCTCTCCCCACCATTCAGTCAACTCACCATCTCAGCAACAGTGTTTTTTACCTAAGAAATCTGCCACGCCAACCACTGTTGATCAGATCAGGACTGGGCGTTAGACACAATGATAATCACATTTGGGGATAAAATTGGAGCAGGAAGCTAGAAATAATTGGCGAGCTTCTTCCTCCAGCTAAAACTGCAAGAAGTATGCTCAGAAGCCAAGAGGCAGGCAGGTTCCTCCAAACACAGTCAAAGAGAAAGCAAGGAAAGGCCAGAGGCGAGCGGTGATGTACACCAGAGAAAAACAGTCGTTCGTTTCCCACAGATTCTAACTTTTGGCTGTTTTTCAGATCTTTGTGAGACAGACATTCGTAGACTTTCTTAAGTTCTTCTTTTCTATTACTTGCTAGTTGAGGATTTTAACTAATTATATAACCAGAAAGATTAGAAGACAATGAAATAAATATTAAAATGCCACACTTTGGTGGAAATTGCAAGGCATTTGCATACTTTCAGCATCATTATTCCTGACCTTTCTGAGAGGACCATAATGGAAGTGTGGAAGTGTTTACAGATCGGAACTATCTCTTGCCGCTCAACCTCAGTCAGCTCCAGGGTTTCTAAGAAATTCACGGCTACACGCTCAAGAGCATCTTCAGGCCATGGCTGGAAAGAAGGAGAAGAAAAGTTTATGAAAGATGAGCAGTCTCCAGTGGTTAGGAGCACTGGTTGTTCTTCCAGTGACTCCGGGCTCAATTCCCAGCACCCATATGATAGCTCACAACTGTCTGTGGCTCCGAGGTGTTACACCCTCACACAGACACACATGCAGGCAAAATACCAATGCACATAAAAGAAAAATAAATGAATTATTTTTAAAAATATGAGCAGTCTCAATCAACAACATAAGTAGTGAAAATTTAATGAGGAAAAGAGAATTAAGCAGACTGAGGTTCCAATATTTTTTAGATTTCTTTATACATGACAATGAGAATAAGAACAGCACAATAAGCATTAGTGACACGTTACATATTAAGAAAATAATTATGTCACTTTCACCTCTCCTCTACTTGGACACCTGTTAGGCATCTCAATTTGAGCATGTCCTTTGTAGGAGATGCTTTCTACTCAATATTAATTAGTTCCTTTACCCATATGAGAATAGAGTGAAAAAACTTATTTAATTTGGATTTCTGTCATTAGAAGTCCTTCATAATCCCCATCATAACATCCAAAGCTGAAGTTTTTATTTTCTTCTACCCAAATGTTCTTAGCTAGTCTTTCCACATTAGTGAAGTGCTTTCTTCTGCTTTATCCCGAACTATGCCAATTGTGATCTCGCTCCAGGCCTTTCTCTTTCTTTTTCCTCTGACCAGAACCTTGCTTTCTCAGACCTTCATATGGCTTCTCACTTTCTTCATATTTATACCCCAGAGTAACATAAAGTGTCCCTGGAACACTCTTTCTAGAACCATCTTCTCCCCCTGCTATTATTCAGCCTCTTGTGATGAGTGTTGTCCCCAGAACATACTAATACCTCATGTTCCATTTACTCATTTGTCTACTACTGGCTTCCGTTCAACCCTTCACAGAATTACAAAACCCATGGAGGCAAGCACTTCCTTTTTATCACTGCTGGATCTTCAGTGCCTAAAACAATACTTTGCAAAAAATACTTCAAATGTTTAGTTAAACAGGTTTTGCTTCTTTATGTTTTTATTAGAATATTTTCTTGATTTCCTTTCGTTCACTTTCAACAAGACGCTTGAAAGTTTTTCCTTTTAGAGCAGTGCCCATTTTAAGATTATTTTTGTTGTTTGTTTTGTTTGTTGCTGTGGAATATTCCTTCTGTACACTGTGTAATTGAGGCTGAAATTGGTTTAATAAAGAAGCTGACTGGCCAGTAGCTGGACAGGATAAGGTTAGGCAGGAAAACCGACTAAGGACACTGGGAAGAAGGGCAAAGCCAGAGGAGTCGCCAGCAAGACATGGAGAGGAAACAGAATGCAAGATGAAAGAGAGGTAATGCCATGTGGCAGAATGTAGATTAGTAGAGATGGGTCAATTTAAATGTAAGAGTTAGCTAGTAACAAGCCTGAGCCATCGGTCAAACATTTATAATTAAGTCTTCACATGGGTTATTTGGGAACTGATGAGTAGGAAAGAAAATTCTGGGTATGGTTTGTTTATGTTTCTTAGGACAGGGTTTCTTTTTGTGGCCCTGGCTGTTCTGAAACTTACTCTGTATACCAGGCTGGCCTTGAACTCAGAGATTTGCCTGCCTGCCTCTGCCTCTCTGTGTCCTGAGTGCCGGGATTAGAGGTACAACCCACTACCCTAGTGTCAGTAGGCCTCTTTCGATTAGAAGTCCCGAACCAAAGAAAAACGTTGCCCTTCTTCCAAATAAAAAGGAAATTTTCCTCTCTGACTGCCCTCAAGCTGTCACATTGGTTTTATTGTTGACTCAGAAATGAAGTAAAACAGGAGATCTTTGAAGTGTTGAGCCTCATGGCCTTCATACTAGAATTGTATCACTGACTCTTTAAAACCTGCGGCTTGTGAACTGAAGATCACGGGAACCAGATCCATTTATAATCCCCCACCTGTACATACATACATACACACACACACACACACACACTTACTTTTCTTTGTATTAAATTTTAAAATACAGGGGCTATAGGAGTTGGGATCGGTAGCTAAGAACACTAGCTGCTCTCCTAGAGGATCCAGCTCTCACATGGCACTCACAATAATCTTTAAACTCCAGTTCCAGAGAACTCATGCCCTCTTTTGGCCTTTTGAGGCATGATTGGTGCACAGGCATACATGCAGGCAAAATACCCAATACATAAAATAAATTGAAATAAAAATAATCAATTAATTAAAAAATCTAGTAGTCTAGAGCAAGATGTGCTACTGGTGCAGGGGTGAGGTCCTTTGCCACTGTTCGATTAGATTGGACGCCTGCTCCACAGGAGTAAACACACACACACACACACACACACACACACACACACACACACACGCTCCTCAATCCTCAAATGGCAAGAATCAGCATAGGCCCAAACTAGACTCTCTGAATGTAGCTGACAGTTGTGTGGTTGGGGCAGACTGTGGGGCCACTGGCAGTGGCACCAGGATTTATCCCTACTGCTTATACTGGCTTTTTGGAACCTATTCTCTTCGGATGGATACCTTGTTCAGTCTAGATATAGTAGGGAGGGCCTTGGTCCTTCCTCAGAGCAATGTGCCTTACCCTCTCTGAGCAGTGGATGGGGAGTAGGGTGGGGAGAAAAGTGGAGGGAATGGGAACTGGGATTGGTAAGTAAAATGAAAAGAGATAGCTTGTTTTCTTTTTTAAAAACATAAAACAATTAAAATGTAAAAAAACATAAAATGATAATAGAAATTTGGATTAATCATATCACATACAATATACAACATATATGCATTATTATATATTATGTTAAACACACACACATTATCCTATGGTTCCAAATCTAACCTTCAATGCAACTGGTTAATTTTTATAATTCAAAAATTCACTGTTTTCACTAGTCCACACTTTGTCTATCATCATAATGTCTCTATTTTTTCTAACTATTGCTTTTATGCTCTCTAGTCCAGACTATGAACTGTCTCATAGTCTTATCCGCTCCTGGTGCTAAGTGCTATGCCCATCATTACAATAACTTATCGATAAACACATGCTGAGTACTAATCCAGCTTAAATATGACTTTGGTAAAAATGTTCAGAATTAGCAACTCTACTCCCTCGAAACAAAATGAAACAAACCTGAAACCAATCAATAGTGCAGCAATTGATGAGGGACGGGAACTGTCTCAGCCGGTTGCGAAAGGCGTCTCCTATGGGGCTGAAGGCCACGACAACGTGAAGGTTGTCTTTGCAGCGGCTCACAAAGAAAGCAAACAGGGCCAATGGACTGAGCTCGTCATGCTTATTGCCAGCCTGAGCCACCGGGCGGACCCCCTGCAGAGCAGAAACCAGAAGATCAGATATTAGGATGGGAGGTTTGTATCACTGTCTTTAAATTCTTATTTTCATACCATTGGATGTTTAAAAACAACTATCTGTCAAGAATTTACCTGGTAAAGATAATCAGAAAAACTCTTCAAGATTATATGTAGGCCTAAATGCAACATCTTTTTAGAGGAATAATGGAAACTAATATAATGTCCGTCAATAAGAAACTGGCTAAACTCACAAAACATCCTTCTCACTTTCACACTAGCTTTTACATAACCTTTAAACAACAAAGAAAAGCCAGACTCAGAAAGACAAGCATTGAAAGCATGCTTTCTCTTATTAGCAAAATCTACTGTGTGTGTGTGTGTGTGTGTGTGTGTGTGTGTGTGTGCTCCACACGATGTGTAGCAGAAACATGGAGAAAGGAGTCTAAAGAAAGGGTGAGGAGAATGAGAGAATGCTGGGAAGGGAAGGACAGAAAGACAAATACTGAATGTTCTCTCTCAAACATGGAACTTAAATCTAAAGCAAAACGAAGCCTACATGGAGGCAGGTAAAGGCGGTGAGCAAAGCACAAAGTCATAAGAAAGCTGTTAGTGTGCACACATACGAAAACAGGGAAAATGAAAGAGGTATTGTGTATGTGCTATGGTAACACTAGCAAAATAAACAAAAACTAAGTTATGTAAGAATACACAAAATATGATTCCTTTGTGTTAACTTTAAAGACATGTAGTCTGGAGGTAAGGTAAGCCCACTGGTTTAAGAGCAGCATAGCTGTAATGGGGAACTAATCGCTTTCTGATTGGACATGAGGCCTGCTCCACAGAAGGGAATTTATGCCTGGGACTGTCAACTTGGTCAAACTCCATGGCTCAGGAGGTCCTAAGGCCTAAGGAAAAGCCTGCTACTGTTGCTTTGCTAAATGGACGTGTTGTCAACCTGCTTTCTAAAAAATTATGTTTATTTCACCAACCAGTGCTGTTCTCATCCTCGGTTAGTGAAGCTGCTTTTGGCAGTGGGCCAGGGTTAATGCCGAAACTCAACTCATGCCTGGTTAAAATACTGCTGAGTCCACAGACCCAAATGGGCCATCTCTATCATATTCCCCTACCCACACCCCAAGGCTCAGAGAACATCATAGAGGAAAAGGTGAAAAGAATATAGAGGGAGGAGATGGGGGAGGTGCTGTGAGATGTTGTCTTCTGGCCATGAGTTACACTAGAGAACTCATGGAAACTGTAATTACCTGCACCAAAAAGTCAGCATTTCAGCATGGATGAAGTAGCAGCTCACTAGTCTTTACCCATACTTGAAGTGCTACTGGCAACTGACAGCTACTGGAGAAGGGAGAGTTAATTCTATCCAGGGGCATGGCCACTGGAAGCTGCCTCTGCCCCAGTGTATGGCCCCACACCCAGGTACATGCTGGTAGCACTAACTGGATTCATTGAATTATTTAAACAACAACAACAAAAAAAAAACATGAGGTAGAAGGGGGTTGTATGCAAGGGGTCTGAGGAGGGAGAAGGGAATTAATGAATGGACATGATCCAGATACATTGTGTACATGTATGAAACTATTAAAGAATAAAGAAAACATTTTTAAAAATATGTAGACTGGATGTACCGGTGCATACCTATATTCCTAGCACTTAATAAGCTGAGGAGACCAGCCAGAGCTAAGTAATGAGACCCAGTTTCAAGAAAAAAGGCAGACATAAGCTGGGTGTGTTGCACATCTGTTGCCCCATCTACTCAGATGGCTCAACCAGGAAGACTACTTGGGCCCAGGTACTTGTGGCCAAGCCCCAGCAACACAGAAAGTTCTCATCCCAAAAATGTATGCAGGGGATAGAGAGATGCCTCAGTGGTCAAGAGCACTCACTGCTCTTCTGGAAGACCAGGGTTCAGTTCCCAGCATCCGTGTCTGGCGGCTCACAATTGCCTGTAACTTCAGTTTCAGGGGATCTGAGGTAGGTACTGGCACACAATCACATACAAATAATATAAGTAAAACATTTTAAGCAGAGCAGTGATGGCACACGCCTTTAATCCCAACACTCGGAAGGCAGAGGCAGGTGAATCTCTGTGAGTTCGAGGCCAGCCTGGCCTACAGAGCTAGTTCCAGGACAGGCTCCAAAGCTACAGAGAAACCCTGTCTCGAAAAAACAAAACAAAACAAAACAAAACAAAACAAAACAAAAAAAGAAAAATAAAACATTTTAAAAGTGTGCATAAAATATACAAATAAAAAATAGTGAAGTAGAGAAAAGTTTAATAACAAATTAATAACAGTTAACAGCTAAAGTAAGCAGTAAAGTCAGGCAAAGATAAAAAAGTCTTACTGCCATGAAACAATATTTATACACTAAATACTTGATAACTGTTTTTGTTGTATATAGTCTTACTATGTTAAAGTCAAAACTTTCCTTTTAATTAGACAAAAGGGGAAAATGCTGTGGAACAATATTTGTACACTGAAAATATATAATGCTCTTATTGTTACTAAAAAGGCTGATTGGCTGAGAGCTGGGCAGGAAGAGATTGGTCAAGACAGTCTGACCCAGAGAGAATCCTGGGAAGAAGAAGGGCAAAGTCTGAAATCACAAGCAGACACTGAGGGAGCAGGAGATGAACTTACCATGCTAATAAAGGTACCTCCATGTGGTAGAGCACAAATAAGGAATGTGGGTTAATTTAAAATGTAAGAGTTAGGTCATAACAAGCCTGAGCTATTGACCAAGCATTTGTACTTAATATTAAGTCTCCATGTTGGTCATTTGGAAGCAGATGGTCAGAGCAGGAAAACTCTGACTATATCTCACTCCCCACAGGTAACTATTCTTTGTTTGGGGCTATGAAGAACGAGGTCTTCCTATTATTTAGGAACATCATCATTCAGGAGTTGTCTTGATGACATCACAGGAAAAAGCAAAAGCATTTTTTTTTCCTTTTCAACCCAGGTCACAAACTAATAAACATACCAAGGGTTACTGAAGGGTTTCTAAGTGTTAAACACTATGTTAATTGCTTGTTTTGTTTGATTCCCTTGCCTTGTTATAGCCCTATGTAGGGGGACTGCTGTCTGTGCTCCTATTTCATAGAAGGCAAAAGCAGAGGGCTTAGACTACCAGGCTGACTCCATTTTAATCCAGGAGGAAACATCCAGATATAAGTAATTAGTTCCATGGATAAAAGTAAGTATAGTCAGTGTAAAAGGAGTAAGTCTTAGAAATGGGGATCAAAGTGTCTGGCAATTGACAGTAGTAGGTGCTATACAATTGTATCTTGTCTTTTAGATCATAAAACCTGACTTTCACATGTATCTCTCTCACACACACACACATATATATATACATACATACATATTAGAACTGTAAGAAAACACAGTTTTAGTAAGACTTTTGAAAATTATACCAGACAGCAGAAAGTCATACAGCTAATCAAGGGAGATATTAGTCATGTTTCCTTTCTTCCTGTGTCTTTTGTTTACACCTTTGTTTTGTTTTTGAGATAGTATCTCAAACTATAGATCAAGCTGGCACCAAAATGGTGATCCTTCTGCTTCAGTCTCCTGAGTGCTGGCATTAAAGATCTGTACCACCACATCCAGCTCTGATTCTCTCACCAGCTTAAGAGATGATATTATACTCTAATCAACCATAAGCATGCTAAGTAACATATATTTTATGAAGATAACAATTATAGAATAATTTCTGACTTAAAACAATGCTAGATTTTAACTTTACTAAAATGACATGTTAAACTAACATACTTTAAATTGTATAAGCTCTATTTATCTAATTGCTTGACTGTATAAGTTCTGTGTATCCTGAATAGCAGAGCAAAGTGTTTATGATAAGAAAACTCCTGTGCTGGGTGCAGGATTTCCCCACAACGCGCTCTTACCTCCATTACTTCTTGCTTCTCATCTGCTGCAAAAATGTTAGGAACCTCGCCAGTATTGAGCACACTGTCAATATCTTCTAGGAAAGCTTCCTCTTTAATCTGAGTGTCTGTGATCAGAAAGACTGTCTTCTGGCCCTTCATGCCTACATTTCTTAACAAGGTCTTAAAGGAAAAATGTACTAATCAGCAGAATGCAGTGGCTCGTGTAGGTTTTGCTTTTCCCTTCCTTTTAGGCTTGAGTTTAAGGGTTTGATTCTAGTGGGGCTGTCAGTCAGCAACTCCATTTCTTCTATACAATACAAACCACTTAGTTTCCTGAAGCTCCTAGATGTAACAGTTGGTAAGAGGCATATGATTAAAAATGGCCTATTACTTTAATGATTGAGTTGGACTTAAAACATGGCTCTTGTACTGAGAAGGATGCTTACCAAGACCAATAATACAAAATACTTGGATCAAGTGTGTTGCCTCATGGACTGAACCAGCTGGAAAAGTGAGACAAATGAATACTTCCAGGGAGTATAGAGAAATTTCTAAACTGGGCCCTTAAATTGTATCATGTTAAATTACTATCCACCTCTGAACACTTACATAATATAAACAACGTCCTCTTTTGCTTAAGTTAGCTTGAGCTATTTTTTTTTCCATTGTTTTTGGCCAATCACAAGCAAAATTCCCAACTGAAATGGACTTAGTGGTCTGGTGGACATGATTTACAGATATCTGTTAAAACTGACCACTTCTTAGGAGATTATAGGTACAGCCAGGATTAAAATTAAGTGATATGATAAAGCTCCTCCCAGAAGCCATAAATTATCAAACGAAAAGTATAGTCTCTCGTGTACGTTACCGCCTTTGGAGCTATTGGGCAGAGGCTTTCCAAGGATCCTCCCTTCAAAACAAACAAAAAAAACCAAAAAACAAAAACAAAGACCACACAAGCAAGGGAGTGGAGAGGGAGACTTGGTCACTCACCGGACTTGGTGGTGAGCCCTACTACTGACTGAAAGGTGCGGAGCAAGTAGGAAAGGAAAAAATAAAGGTCATCCACAGTCCTACTGGGCTGTGAACCCTGGGAACTACAATGCCCAATGGTCAAACAGTGGCATGGACATTACCATGTGGGGAAAACAACAGTTTTGATTGGTCTAAGGCCTGATCCACAGGAGAGAGCTCATGCATGGTACTTGTAAACTTGCCCAAAAGTCTTTGGTTAGGGGTGGTGATTTTCCCTAGAGGGATAGCAACCTAGTGTTATTTTTGATAAATGGACATAACATTTGTGCTGGATAGTTTTATGTCAACTTGATATAAACTAAAGTCTTCTAAGAGGAGGGAACCTCGATTGAGAAAACGTTTCTACAAGATCAGGCCGTAGGCAATCCTATCAGACATTTTCTTAATTAGTGATCAATGCAGGAGGGCCCAGCCCATTGTGGATGGTGCCATCCCTAGGCTGGTGGTCCTAGGTTCTATAAGCAGCACCCCTCCATAGCCTCTGCACCAGCTCCCACCTCTAGGTTCCTGCCCTATTTGAGTTCCTGACAGCCTTTGATGATGAACTGTGCTACTGAATTGTAAGCCAAATAAACCTTTCCTCCCCAACTTGCTTTTGGTCGTGGTGTTTTTTCAGAGCAATAGAAACTAACCAAGGTAGCATTAAACTCCTTCTAAGTACTTACCTTTCTACCCACAGATTAGTCTCTCACCCCTCTTTAGAGAATTTTCTTATTATAGTGGGTGGTCATTAACACAGACTCACAACTAGTAGAGACGCAGAGAATAACTGAGCGCAGTGTTCGGCCTCAAACAGAAAGTCCACGTCATTCCCTTCCCGCTAGGCTCAGGAAACATCCCAGAAGAGGGAGAAGAAGGACTAAGTGCCACAAGCTGCAAATGACTGTTGTGAGATTTGTTTTGGATATGGGAATCACATATTCCTGTGAAATAAGTCTTCCCAAACCAGGATGAAGACAGGGGCAGGGGCAACTGTGAGAACTTGCATTACAAAGTCTTATTCTGCTATATAATTTCCTTTAGCTTCAGTGTCAACAGTGAAACAGAGACATCTATACCTGCCGTACCCCAGGGCTGTACCGATGGAATGAGATTACGTAAGTAAAGCACTCATAGCAGTCACCTAACGGATAGAGCAGTATAACTATAACTATATAGTATTACAGTAATACTGTAGTAATGTACAAATATACTACTTTTACTAGTCACCTAACGGATAGAGCAGTTTAACTATAACTATATAGTATTGCAGTAATACTGTAGTAATGGACAAATATACTACTTTTACTAGTCACCTAACGGATAGAGCAGTTTAACTATAACTATAAAGTATTACAGTAATACTGTAGTAATGTACAAATATACTACTTTTACTAGTCATTTTCAAACTGGATATCTTCATACTTTTTTACCTTCATATCCTCTCTCCACTCATTCATACCATAACTCTTAGAAATTTCTGGTTGGAAAATCTGCATTTTTGCCATCGATGTAGCCAGACGAGTTAACGATTGCCGACCGCTTCCTCCAAGCCCAATTAGCAACGCATTTCCACCAGACTGCTTTAGAATGCGGCATATTCTTGATAAATGTTCCAAAACATACCTACCAAAGACAAGTTATTTTCCATAGCAATTTACATGTACCTTTACTTACCACTTTATCATACATATTTGATAACATCATGTTGCACAGTAAATATATACAAAATTTACTGAAAAACTAAAGCATGCAGGAACCGGGGTTGGGGAAGTTCTTGCCTCAAGAGCCTAATGACCTAAGTTCAGATCTCCAGAACTCACATGACAGCTGGATGTAATGCATTTCATTTGTATTGTAACAAATGAAGCTTGCCTGGAGATCAGAAAAGTGAAACAGGCACACTGGCCAGCCTTACAGACCAGGCAGCAATGACACACACTTTTAATCCCAGTAGTTACACTAGTTGCCATAGAAACCAGGCAGTAGTGGTGCACGCCTTTAATCCCAGAACTAGAGAGGATTATAAAACAGGAGGAGACAGCTCTCAGTCTCATTCTGGGATTCCTGGAGGCAGGACCATCATTTTGGACTAGGTAGAGGTAAGAGCCAGGGGCTGACTACTTTGCTTTTCTGGTCTCAGGTTGGCCCCCAATATCTGTCTCTGAGTTTTTTATTAATCATATTTCAGCTGGATCTAGTAAGCATTTGTGATCCCAGCACAGCTACAGGAAATGGAGGCACAGATCTGAGAGTCCTAGATGTCCATTAGGCCGGCTAGCCTGGCTTGTGTAGTGACAAAGAGGTCCTGTTTTAACAAGGTGGGAAGGTGAGCACTGGCACTGGAGGTTGTCCTCTGAACATACTCTGTTTCTTTTTATTAATATAGATTAAGGGGAGTGTTGGCTGAAACAGACAACTTAATAAATTACTTGTACTTTATACTGTAATATATGTGACAGGTATTTACTATATTTTTAAAATATTTCATGGAAATTTATAAATAAAAGTTTCAAACACATACATAAACACAGGTACCTAGTTTCTTGATGACTTTTTGGACCCCATTTCCTATGGAGGGATACCTTGCTCAGCCTAGATAAAGGGGGGAGGGCCTTGGTCCTGCCTCAAGTGATGAGACAGACTTTGTTGACTTCCTATGGGTGGCCTCACCCTTTCTGAGGGGTGGAGGGAGTGGGGTAGAGGGAAAGGTGGAGACAGTGGGAGGAGGGGAGGGAGAGGGAACTGAAATTGGTATGTAAAATAAAAAACATTGTTTTAAAAAATAAAATAATAGAAACAATAAATAAAATATAGGTACCTGAACACAACAAGATTCATTCTGCTTTTGTGAGTTTGATTATACTCATCTAGGCACTGGTCAACAACATCATTAAACTGCTGAATACTTGGAATTTCAATGTAAATTCGGTCATCTCCTTCAAGATCAGGATTCATATAATCCCCAAACATGAGATTTCTTATGTCTTCTTCAGTTACCTGTAGAGTATAAATCATAAAGTTATAAAAGTTAAATTACAAAATAAATTTAATAAAAAATATAGTTTTATGTATGTCATGGGTTGATTGCTAGCTAATTACTTTAAATATTAAGATAGCAAACAATGTTTGTCTAAAATTAACACATAAAATGACAACTTTATTTGGCAACTAGAAAATTCTGTTGTTTTTTCTATAGACTGGGAATAAAAAGATTTGTTTTTATTTTATGAGATTTTATGAGATTTTTGCTGGTTTGTATCTAATTGTGTTGTGTGTGTGCTATGCCTGAAGAGGCCAGAAGTGGTTGTCAGAGCTCCTGGAGCTGGGAATGTAGGTGGCCGTGCACTGCCATGAAGGTGGTAGGAATCACCCTGGTCCTCTACCTGAGCAGCCAGTGCTCTTAACTGCTGACCCATCTCTTCAGATGCTTTTTCTATAGATCGGAAAACCATCTTTTCTGACTCGCTTTGCTAAGAATAGCATATGAGTTGGTACCATGCTATGCACTCTGTACAGTCTCATTAACAGCCATTATAGAATAACCTGACATGCTTTTGATAGCTAAATACACTTACTGGAGCATTCTCTTTTCGCAGGTGAGAAAAGATACCATCAAATGGCTCCTTAAAGTAGTCCTTGATAACAGTTTTAATTAACATGAAGAGCCAGTTTCGATCATCATCATTAATGAGGCGATCATAAAACACGCGGAGAACCTCATGCACAAACAGGCGGATCATCGTGTGCTTGCTCTCCACAGCCTCTCTCTCCATGAGCAAGCAGCCCCGGATGACACGTGAGAAATCACGCAGATTGAAGGTATAATGAGATTTTGCAGGAGTGGGCAAAAGATTCTTCATAGATTGCTTATATATCTGTGGAGAAAAGAATGCAACAATTCAAAAGTGAAATACCTATAAATAACAGCCCTAAAATAGTATTAATAATATTTCATTTATCCTATTAGATTACATCGCTCCGGAAAGCATGTAAACACTGAACCTAGCATGGAGTATATGTTCATTTTGATCTCTAGCACTCAACCAGGTACTATGAAGCTGAGTGCACTGAATAGTACCTCAACTTGAGTTCCATTTAATCTGACTTTAGTTCCCATTCACTGTCATTGTTCCACTTACAGGCAATCTGGACGTTATTAAGCAGTTTAAAATCGCAATAGAAATTAAAATCAGGTAACTCATTCTAAAGCACCCCAAATAGCCGGGTGGTAGGGGCACACGCCTTTAATCCCAGCACTCGGGAGGCAGAGGCAGGCGGATCTCTGTGAGTTCGAGGCCAGCCTGGTCTACAAGAGCTAGTTCTGGGACAGGCACCAAAGCTACAGAGAAACCCTGTCTCGAAAAACAAACAAAAAATAAAAATAAAAAAATAAAGCACCCCAAATAAAGAAGAAATAATATCTTTGAGATTAGCAATGACCTTAAATCTATCAATTCTCTCCCTTCCTTCCTATTAGATTCTTATTCTTCTTTTATCTTAATTGATAAAATATAGAAACAAAGTATATTTTTTCTGAATGATGTATTCATCATAGAAAAGTTAATTCTCTTTAAAAAGGTTAATTAATCATTTAATATATCCTGACAAAAAAGAACGACAAGACTATTTTTCATTTGCTACGCTTGTAGTTTATCCCCCTGTCTACCCATGGTAGATCTCTAATGCTTCAATGAGAAAAAAAAAACAATCTCTTCTACACGGCCAAGGCCCACTCATACCGAGTTATATTTTAAATATTATATTATTACAAATAAAGCACTTTCCTATATCAGAATAAATCTTCCTGATGGAGGAGGGTCATCTTTCTATCTGTTTTTTTGTTGGTTAAGTAATAAAGAAACTACTTGGCCTCTGATAGGACAGAAAATTAGGTAGGCGGAGTAGACAGAACAGAATGCTGGGAGAAAGAAGCTGAGTCAAGGAGTTGCCATGATTCTCCCACTCCAGACAGAAGCAGGTTAAGATCTTCCCTGGTAAGCCACCTCATGGGCTACACAGATTATTAGAAATGGGTTAGATCAATATGTAAGAGCTAGCCAATAAGAGGCTGGAACTAATGGGCCAAGCAGTGTTTAAAAGAATACAGTTTCCGTGTAATTATTTCGGGTATAAAGCTAGCCGGGTGGCGGGAAGCAGCCTGCCATTCCTATTACAACATCTTCCACTTAGTCATGGTTTGAATCTGAAATGCTCCCACCAATGGCTCTCATGTTGAAGGCTTGAATGGTAGAAGATGGGCTTTGGGAAGAGATTATATCCTGTGCTCTGACCTAGACAGGTTCATAGTGCAGTGCGTTATCAGGAGACTACAAGGTGTAGTCAAGTGGGAGGAAGTAAATCACTGTAGGCATGCCCTTCAAAGATATACCTTGTACCTAGACCTCTGTTTATCAAGCATCCAGACAGTTTAGTTTGGTGAGATTATTACTAAATTACCTTCGAGTGCATTATTTTCCCTGTTAACACTTGATATGAGGTTGGTTCTGGCTTATGAGTAAGGGCAGATAACACACCCTGAATCAGGAGGTGTTCTTTGACCACATGGGCATAAGTATTTTATCCCCATCCTTGCATGCTCTAAGTTTTCACTGAAATGTATGTGGTCTGAATAAAAGCAATGTGTATGTAATAAGATGCTTACATTTATTTTCTTAAAAAATTACACCCATAAGACCATGTCAGTCCCTAGCCTAATTGCCATCAAAGGGGCTTCCTCCAGCAGCTGATGGGAGCAGATGTAGAGATTCACAGTCAAACTGTAGGCAGAGCTCAGGGAATCCCACAGAACAGGGGAGAAAAGATTGTAGGGGACAGAGAGGTTGAGGACACCAGTAGAACACATCACACAGAATCAACTAAGCAGGGCTCATAGGGCCTCACAGAGACTGAAGTGGCAATCACAGAGCCTGCGTGGGTCTACACTAGGTCTTCTGTATATGTGATATGGTCGTTAGCTTGCGGGACTCCTAACAGCGTGAGTGTGTGTGGGGGGATCTGTGACTCTTTTATTTGCTCCTGGGACCCTTTTCCTCCTACTGGGTTGCTTTATCCAGCTTGATATGAGGGTTTGTGCCTAGTCTTATTGTATCTTGTTATGCAGTGTTCAGTTGCTCTCCTGGGAGGCCTGCTTTTTTCTGAAGGAAAATGGAGGAGCCATGGATCTCAGGTAGAGCAGAGGTAGGAGGCTGGGAGGAGTGGAGGAAAGGAAGACTGCGATTGGGATGTATTGTATGAGAGAAAAATAAATAAAAAGAAAAAAGCATGAAGAACAAGAAGGAAGACAGAAAAGAAAATTTAACAAATACCACAGTGGGAACCTAACCATCAAGAAAATGATTATGATGTGGTAGGTACTGGTTATGAGCAAATTTCTTACAACCTTAGGAAACATGTATCATATCTCATTTTAGTGATTAAACATTAGGCCTCCAAAAGGTCAAACTGCTTGTCTTAGAACATCCACTTAGGAATAGTAGCCAAAGCTCATCCCCAGTTAGGTTCTCCATGTTCAAAATCTATGATCTTCCTGCTCTTAAACCATCTGGAACAGGATCTCTGACAAAGGAAACCACAGATGGCCCAGGGAATGACATTTTTTAAAGAAGACCAAGTAAGGGAAGCATCTGCCACTAATATGTCTTACATTGCACTACATGCTCACCTCCATAGTCCCACTGACTATCTGGTTTCCAACTATAAAGTAATCTGGAGGAAATTCACGAGACCTAAGGTAGAATGCCATGATTGATGAGAAAATCCGGACCATAGTTTCATCACTGAAAGAATTGATGGTGCAGATATTGAAATGTCGAATAAAACGGGGAGTGACTGCATTCCTTCCACCACCTGGAGGACCCATGGCTGCTATCAGTTCTATGTCAACCAGTGTGATTTTACTGGTGTCCTTGAGGTCATACCTAGAAAGCACACACAAAGACAAAGAAAGAAAAGATAAAATGAAGCACGGATAACCTTAGAAATTTAATCTTAGCTTTAGCTTTTGTAAAGGGAATAACTATAAGTTAGGGGTGATTGTTCCACTTTGCCTAGGACGAGTCTGGTTTGTGCTTGCTATCACCAACACTGTCCTTCTATTCTTAGCAGTGTCTCAGTTTGAACAATAAAGTATACATCACTCTGGTATGGTAAAGTCCTGCTCTTCCTGTCATCTAGGGTCTTTAGAGTACATTAACAATGCCTAAATATTACCCACACAACTTGTATACAGAGAAGGCTCCACTAGAGAAACATAAAGCTTCAAAGAAGTCCTAATCAGGTATCCAAATAACAAAATATAGTTGACTGTTTCCATCTGGTTAAGTTCTTCAATATTGAAGCTTTCACTAGAAGGTGTGAAGAATAGGGAGTGGGGTTCACAGGCCTTGCAAAAATTAATGTTTTTACAACAAATAATGCCAGGACATCCATATGTAGAAAAATAAATGTAAGCACTGACTTTATACACCTTTCACAACAATTAATTAAAATGGATCACAGACCAAAACATTAAGAGCAAAATCATCACAGTCTTAGAAGATAACATTGGAGAAAATTCTAATGACTTTAGGTACAGTCGGTTTTTAAGCTGTGGTAAAAAAAAAAAAAAAAAAAGCCCAAACTGTGAAAGAAATAATTTGAAAATGGGATCTTCATTAAAATAAAAACTTCTATTTGTGAAAGGCAATAAAGAAGATAAGACATAGATTAGGAGAAAATATATATACTGGGTTTTACTTTGTAGGGCTAGCCTCCTGAGTGCTGGGATTATGGGACTGTATTACCATACTCATCTTAAAACCAAACATAATATTACCATAACAATTTGTGAAGGTTAGTTTTAATTGTCAAAATTTGCAATTCCTCAGGAGATGGGCCTCTGAGAATATCTATGTGAGATTATCTTTTTTAAAAATATTTATTTATTATGTATACAATATTCTGTCTGTGTGTATGCCTGCAGGCCAGAAGAGGGCACCAGACCTCATTACAGATGGTTGTGAGCCACCATGTGCTGGAAATTGAACTCAGGACCTTTGGAAGAGCAGGCAATGCTCTTAACCTCTGAGCCATCTCTCCAGCCCCATGTGAGATTATCTTAATTACATTAATTGAAGTGGGAAATCCCGTCCACTTTGGGCGGTACCATATCCTAGGCTGGGGATCCTGGGTTGTGTAAGAGTGGAGAAAGCAAGCTACACTTGGTGCCTGCATTCTCTTCCGACTGTAGATGGACTGTGGATGGTTGTATAAGTTCCTGATGCCCTGATTTCTCTACACCATGGTAGACTGTAACCTGGAAGAGCTAAAATAGCCTCCTTTTCTCATAAGTATTTTATCATAGCAACAGGAAAAGAAATTAAGATACTAATTACACTAGCTATTTATGTAGCTGGTGTTTATCTGATGCAGCTTAAAATATATCCAGAAAATATTTTCATACAACTGTCTGTAGCAATATTAACAGTTATCTAAACCTGAAAATAACCAAGATATCCTTCAACAGGTGAGTGGACTAATAAATTATGGAGCATCTATACAAAGCATTATTAACCCAGCACTAAGAAAACATGAAAGAAATTAAAATGTGTATTACTAATTGAAAGCAGCCAGTCTATAAATGCCATACACTGATTCCAATTATGTGACTGCTACAATTTAAATCTGGAATAGTTCCCAAAGATCCAAAGAAAAAGCTTGGTAGCCAGCATGAGAAGCAGTAGAACTCTGAGGGATGAGGACGAGCAGAAAGTGTTCAGGTCCCTGGAGATCTTCTTCTTTGCTTCCCAGCTATGAGATAAGCAGTTTTGTTTTCCAGGGAACTCCTACAGCTGATAAACACCTTCAGCAAAGTGGCTGGATACAAGATTAACTCCCTAAAAATCAGTAGCCCACTTATATACAAATGTCAAACAGACTAAGAAAAAAAATCAGGGAAACAACACCATTTGCAATAGCCTCAAATCATATAAAATATCCTGGGTAACCTAACCAGCAAATGAAAGACTTGTATGATAAAAACCTCAAGTCTCTGAAGAAAGAAATGAAGAAATTAGAAGATGGAAAGATTTCTCCATGCTCATGGATCAGTAGGATTAATATAGTAAAATGGCCATCCTACCAAAAGCAATCTACAGATTCAATATAATCCCAATCAAAATTTCAACATAATTCAACAGACATTGAATGGACAATACTCAATTTCATATGGGAAAACAATCAAACAAACCCTGGATAGCTAAAACAATGCTGTATAATAAAAGAAATTCTGGAAATAACACCATTCCTGATTTCAAGTTATACTACATAGCTATAGTAATAAAAACCACATGGTATTGGTATAGGCATGTTCATCACTGGAATAGAATCAAAGATCCAGACATAAATACACATAGATGCTTAGTTTTTGATGAAGAAGTCAGAAATACACAATGGAAAAAAGAAAGCATCTTCAAAAAATGGTACTGGTCTAATGGGATATTGGCATGTCAAAGAATGCAAATATTTATCAACCTGCACAAAACCCAAGTCTAAATTAATCAAAGATCTCAACATAAAAACAGACACACTGAACCTGATAATAGAGAAAGTAGGGAATAGCCTTGAATTCATTGGCATTGAAGACCACTTTCTGAACAGAACACCAATTCCACAGGCACTAAGATTGACATTATGGGACTTCATGAACTGAAAACCTTTGGTAGAGCAAAGGACACAGTCACTAGGACAGTTTACAGAATGGAATAAGATTTTCACCAACTCCACATCTGACAAAGGGCTAATATCCAAAACATATAAAGAACTCAAGTAACTAGACATCAACAAGCTAAATAATTCAATTAAAGATGGGGGTTACAGGTCTAAACAGAGATTTGTCAATAGCGAAATCTCAAATAGCTAAGAAACACTTAAAGGTTCAACATCCTTAACCATCAGTGAAATGCAAATAAAAACTACTTTGAGATTCCATCTTATACTCATCAGAATGGCTAAGATAAATACCACAAGTGACAGCACATGCTGGTGAGGATGTAGAGCAAGTGGAACACTCCTCCATTGCTGGTGGGAGTGCAAACTTGTACATGGAAATCAATATGGTAGTTCCTCTGAAAATTGGGACTCACTCTATCTCAAGACCCAGTTATACCACTACTGGGCATATTCCCAAAGGATTCCCACTTGCTCAACTATGTGGATAGAGGCTTTACTCATAATATCCAGAAATTGGAAACAACCTAGACGTTCTTCAATCAAAGAGTGGATAAAAATATGTAGTACTAAAATTAGTGGGGAAAAAAAGAGAATATATGAATTTGAAGAAAAGCAGGAAAGGGTATGTGGGAAGGCTTGAAGGAGAGGGAAGGGAGAGCTGCTGTAGCTAAACTGTAATCTCAAATATAAAAAAGTATGACAAACTCTTCAAAAATGGAGTATTACTCAGCTGCTTAAAAATGACATCATGAGCCAGGCGGTGGTGGCGCACGCCTTTAATCCCAGCACTTGGGAGGCAGAGGCAGGCGGATCTCTGTGAGTTCGAGACCAGCCTGGTCTACAAGAGATAGTTCCAGGACAGGCTTCAAAACCACAGAGAAACCCCTGTCTCGAAAAACCAAAAAAAAAAAAAAAATGACATCATGAAATATGCAGGTAAATAGATGGAATTAGAAAAAAAACATCCTGAGTGAGGTAACCCAGAACCAGAAAGAAGAACAAGATATGTACTAACTTATAAGCGGATATTAGCTGTTAAGTGAAGGATAGTACCACTACAATCCACAGACCCAGAGGGTGATGTGGGATGAACTTCTGTATGTGTTGCTTTTATTGGCTAGTGAATAAAGCTGAATAAAGCTGTCTTGACCAACTGCTTAGCAGAGTAATACCAGGTGGGAAATTTGAACAGAGATATATAGAGAGAGTAGGCAGAGTCAAGGAGATGCCTTGTAGCTGCCAAAGGAGACAGACACTGGAACCTTACCTGGTAACTCACAGCCTCATGGCAATACACCGATTAATAGAAATAGGTTAATTTAAGATATAAGAGCTAGGTAAGAATACACCTAAGTCGTTGGCCTAACAGTGTTGCAATTAATATAGTTTCTGTGTGATTATTTGGGTCTGGGCAGCTGGGACACGAACAAGCAATCTCTTTCTACAAGAGGGCTAAGTAACAAAGAGTTCTAAGGAGCACTACATGGATCTCTCTAGGAAGAGGAAATGAAAGGATTATGTGGGTGGACTGAGGGTGGGTATGGGAACAGAAGAGATCAGGTAGAGAAGGGAAGGATGGAGGAAGAGATGACTGGGATTGTGGGGGAGCACTTTAGGAGCTAATGTGGAAACCTAGTGCAGTGGAAACACCTTAGAACCTGTGAGGATGACCCTCGTGAGGACTCCTAGGAATGAAGGATATAGAGGCTAAACTAGCCATCATCTTCAGTAACCAAGCAAGACTTCCAGTGGTGGGGCTAGAACACTGGCAGCCACCAAACCTTTGACCCATAACCTGTCTTGCCTGAAGTCCTAGGGCAATTGTGGCTCAGAATTTGGAGTGGGACTGGTTTTACTTGAGGCTCAGGCCACAAGAGGGAGCTCATGCCAGACACTGTCTGGATCAGGAACTGGAAGCTGGATGGCCCAGGATCCTAGGACAGATCCAAACAAAACTAGCAAAAGAAAAAAAGTCAATGAAATGATTCCTAATGATATCCTGCTATGCTCAAAGATCAGTGCCTATCCCGGTCACCATCAGCGAAGCTTTCTCTGGTAGAGAAGCAGAGATCCACGGCCAGACTTTAGGCAGAGTTCTGGGAACCTGAAGAGTGGGAGGAAGGACTGTAGGAGCCAGAGGGGTCAAGCACACCAGGAGAACACGGCCCACAGAATCAGCTAAGCAGGGCTCACAGGAGGTCACAGAGACTGAAGCGGCAATCATGTAACCTGCACGGGTCTGCACCAGATCCTCTGCATATATTGTTAGCTTGTGGGACTCCTAATAGTGAGAGTGGGGGTGTCTGTGACTCTTTTGCTTACTCTTGAGACCCTTTCCCTCCTACTGGGTTACCTCATCCAGCCTTGATGTATAGGTTTGTGCCTAGTTTTATCGAATCTTGTTATGCCATGTTTGGTTGTTATCTCTGGGAGGCCTGCTCTCTTCCAAAGGAGAGCCTAGGAAAAGTAGATCTGGAGGAGAGGAGGCTGTGGTAGGGATGTACTATATAAGAGGAGAATAAATAAAATGAAAAAGACTTTAAATCAATTATTTACCAATGTCCACAATCAAAAAACTGTCGTAATAACTCAATAGGAGGTTGGGCTCCATATTTCTCCAGTGAAGGCATATTCATATCATCTATAAACACTACACACTTCTTTCCCATAGGTGGTCCAAATACTCCCTTGCGCCTTTTGTCCAATCTAGCCATGATGATGTTCTAAAAATTTAAAAAGAAAAAGTATATTTATCTATGTCAGTATTACAAACTTAATATTATCATCGTTGATTAAGTCACTATGTGGCCAATACCAATTGTATACTAGTAACAGCTACTGTTTATTTAATTAGTTAGTAGCTTAACATAAAAGTTAACATTAGAAAAAATTACTAACAATCTTTGAGAGGAAATAATGTCATGTGTTTAATTACCCTAAGTTACTCTTACTTAAAATGATACTAAACTTTAAACTCAACATCATTTCAAATAACATGTGTTGAAATGCTCCCCTGCACTTAGAGTTATCATAGGTATTTACACGGTAAGCTTGCATTCTATATACACATCTATAATTCTATAATCCTTTTCTCACACTGGATACCCCTTTACCTAAGGTTTAAAAGCATTATTTTTTTCAACCTTTGTTGTGTTTTATAGCCAACATAAATGTATATGCTTTTTAAATATTTCTGATAAGTTTTAAACATGCTTGTTTGTTGTAAAACTGAATACCAAAATTATTCTATTCAAAAATTTTGCAGTATGCCAACTTAGCAAGACTTTTAAATTAAGAACAGAAATAGGGTTGGGGAGAGTAAGAAGGCACAAATTTAGGAAGAGATGCTAAGTGTGGCAATTACAAGGAGCTTCATGAAATAGCTTCAGCTTGTTATATTTAGAGACAAAAGAAGATCTTGCAATAGATATAGTGGACCAACAGGTGAGCAGCAAATGCCCCTAAAAGCCACACAGAAGAGTATAGAAAAAACAACCGGATATTCTCCTGTGCCCGCCCACCACTCTTCTACGCACACATGTGAACGTCTCTTAGACTTTCTTCTCCAGTTAAATCAATCATTGCTTCTCAAGTCAAAATTAATGATAAGTCTTAAAGGGCTAATGTATAAGTGTTATCTTCCGATTCACGGATTTACAAAGTTGCATATTTAACATATAGCTTTAAATATTTTAATATTTATCAAGTAAGATAAGGTATAATGGTTACAAACCCAAATCCGGTTTTATACAAACCTGAACCTGATTGGCACTGGTCCGTGCAGAGAAATTCACATAGAAAGGAAAGTACTTGTCTTTTTCCAAGTGATTCATTAGCTTATCCTTGACATACACTGACTTTCCTGTACCAGTCGGACCCACAAAAAGCAGTGGCCTTTATAAAAACAATGAATAACATAATTCAAAATGGAAGAAAGTATAAAAGCATTTTTCTGGGAAAAAACTCAAGTATTTTAAAAACTTTAAATAGCTGGGTGGCAGTGGCACACGCTGTTAATCCTGGGGCTTGGGAGCAGAGGCAGGCGGATCTCTGTGAGTTCGAGGCCAGCCTGGTCTATGAGAGCTATTTCCAGGACAGGCTCCAAAGCTACAGAGAAACCCTGTCTCAAAAAACCAAAATAAACAAAACAAACAAACAAGAAAGCCAAAAACAAAGAAAACAAAAATCTTTAAATAGTAGTCAAGTAATTTCTACTAAAACTCCACACGTGTATAATTGTGAGGACTAGTAAAGGCAGAGCCAAGCACACCTGAGTTTGGATTCCTGGAGGCCATGTAACAGTGTCCTGGTAGCTGGTGTACGCAATCCCAACATTACTAATGTGGGACGAGAAGCAGGGATAAGAGTATTCTCCAAAAGGAGAGACTGAACCTTTACACAAAATGCATAGACTAGAGAGGTGGTGGTTTGTGTGAGTGCATTTGTATGTAAAGGCATGCTCAGGCACCAGATGTATGGAGTTCAGAGACGACCATGGTGGTATTCCTAGGTACTCGCCACCTTTTGTTTGAGGCAGGGTTCCTCACTGGTCTGGAACTTTGCCAAGAAGGCTAGGCTAGCTGGCCCATGTGCTTCCAGGGTTCTGCCTGTCTGTCTCCCATCTTGCCAGAGCTGTGATTACAAGCGTGCACCACCATGCCTGTTGCTTTCTATGTGGAGTCTGGTTCTGCATCTTATGAATAAATACTTTACTGACTGAATCATTCCCCCATCCCAGAATATATAGCTTTTCAATAGTAACACTGCGGGTGATTTTTGGTGACGTAAGAGGTAATGAACTATGGGTCTGTTAAAACTTCAGAGTGAGCAATAAGAGAGCCGAATTCTAGGTTTTCCAATAGTAGTAAATATCATTTAGAACATGCTAATCAATTCCCAGCCATGGTCTCAGTCACCTGAAACTCAATGACTTCAAAGTTCACTTTTTAAAATGCTACCATTTTATTAGAATGGTACTGTTTTATTTAGAATTCATGTTTATAGTAGAGTTTCTTACTTTGCATAGGTAATACTCAAATCCATTAGGAAAGTATATCTAATTGTGTCCATTGTAGGGATGATGAGATCTTGAATTTTGGTTCGTTTGTCTTCTAAATTAGAACTTTTAATTAATTCATTCCAGTGGAGCCAGCGACCTCTGTTTTTTAGCTGCAGGAAAATATGTTTTAAAATATTACAACTATGCAGTTCTACATCTGAGAGCATGTGTTCAATACTTACACCATTTGCTTGTAAAGATGTAAGCCTTTAGATAAAATATAACAACTGTAACACAGTGACATTTTAGCATTGACAAGGAAAAGTTCACTCAGTCAAAAGATGGATAACGGACACAAACGTGCAGTTTACAGAAGAACAAATACAAACGGGCCACAGAAGGCCGCTGTGGTCAGGGTTTGTAACCCGAGACACCATCAAAAGGCCATTGACATCACAGCCAGAGCCTCTGGGCCTGGATGACAGGGGACTTTACTGTCTTTTTGAAAAGTAAGTTTTATTAAAAATTCTAAATCAGGGAGAGATGGCTCTCTCTGATGCTCTTCCAGAGGACCCAGATTCAATGTCCAGAACCCACATGTCAGCTAAGAACTGTCTGTAACTCCAGTTCCAGGGGATCTGGCGCCTTTTTCTGACCTCTGTAGGCAACAGGCATGCACATACATACATGCAGGCAAAACACCCATACACATAAAAAATTTTAAATATTCTAAAGGAAACTTCCCAAAATTAAAAACTTTAGCCTTTTCCTCCTCTAAAATGAAATATTATAATTATTCATATAAAATATAAGTAATATCTTCAGTCATAAAGCAGATTAATAAATAAACATCCATGAAACTAACACCCACTTAATACAACTAATTTTTAATGATAATCCAAAGAAAGTAAATATCACTTTATCATAAACTCAATGTATCTAGAATTTATGACCTTTAGTTTGAGACAGCCATAGCTGTGGCTGTCCTGGAGCTTACTATGTAAACCAGGCTGGCCTTGAACTCTGTCTCCTGAGTGCTGGGACTAAAGGCACACACCACCATGCCCAGCTGAATTTATGCCCTCTTAATATCTAATCTTCCCTAAATGCCTGTAATATGTCCTTTTGCATACGCTGAGTATTTGTTTCAAACTATTCTAGTGTAACTTAAGTTACAAGTTGCTAAATTTTGGTTTTGTATCTTTCATGTGTTGAAGTAAATGAGCTATAATCTAACTAAAAATAAAACATCATTTGAGGCATCTGTATTCCTTTGCCATTTTGCCCTTTTGACCTAGGCTGATGTTTAGACAAGATAATCAGCAGAGCTGTACAATTAAAGTCTTCTAATTCCTGCTGAGTGGTTAATTCCAGCACTCTGGAAACACGTGCAGGTAAATCTCTCTGAGTTCAAGGCCAGCCTGGTCCAGGACAGCCAGGGCTGCAAGGAAACCTTATCTTGAAAAAACAGAAACAAAACACAACACAAAACCAACGTCTTGAAATTCTTTTGAGCCACTGGCCGGACACAGCCGCTGTCCTGATATCTTCCAGTCAGAACCAGCGCGACCATTACTTTCTTCTGATTATTCTTCCCTTCCCCTGTCCATCCCCAAGTCTTCTACTATCTAATTATAACAGTTAATTCCGGCAAAGTAGCCAGAGTCGAGGAGCTGCTCCAGTTCTAGAGCTGGGGCTAACAATTTCTGCTACATTCTATTGGGCAAACAGGTGCCACAGCGCGCATATGGAGGGAGGTCAGAGGACAACTTCTGGGAGCCCTGCTCTCCTCCACTGCCAGGCAGACAGGGTAGAACTCAGTTTGGGTGCCAAGTGTTTTTTACTCATTGTCATATTACTGGCTCAATAATTCATTTAAAAAAAACTTGTAGAGTCATATTAAAGTTACACACACATGTATTTTAGAGTTAAAAGTTTTATTTGATTAAGAAAAAGATGCCAGATATGGTGGTGCACACCTTTAGTCCCAGCACTCAGGAGAGTGAGGCACACAGATCCCTGAGTTCGAGGCCAGCCTGGTCTATAAAGCGAGTTCCAGGACAGTCAGGGTTACACAGAGAAACCCTTTCTCGAAAACAAACAAAAAAATTAAACAAAAGAATAGTTCTTAATTCCCATTTTCTCTTTCCCAAAGGCAACTACTTTTACCTATCTATTTATTTATTTTATTTTTAATAATAATTTATTTAACTTTATTTTATGTGCAGTGGTGTAACTGTCAGATTCTCTGGAACTGGAGTTACAGACAGTTGTGAGCTGTCATGTGGGTGCTGGGATCTGAAGTCGGGTCCTTCAGAGTAACAGTCAATGCTCTCAACTGCTGAGCCATTCCCCTACTTTAACCTGCTTAAACTGGATATTCTGATAATTACTTTCAGTTTTTAGAAAGCATGCTTTAAGCTACTGTCTCTTGATTATTTACTTTAGAGATTATTTCACTGACTTTCCTCTATGACTAATAAAGATAAAACTGGTTTTGGTCATATTCTTAAAACTCAAGTATGATTTGGGTGAAGGAGTGAGTTTTCCACTGCTAGTTGGGTTTGAGTCCGTTCTCTTTCTAGTAAATTAGGTAAAATTATAACAAGGCTCTAATTAGATCTCATAACCATAAAATGAAATTTGCATGAATAAGATGACTGATTAAATATTTTCTGCTTCCTTTAACAGAGTGGAAAAGTAAATTAAGTTGCAGGTGATGTCATAACTGGACCGGGTCTACGAGAGAAGAGAGAAGGGACCAAGCACCTTACCACAGAACCACGACTCTGGTGAACTCAGGCACTGTGGGTGCTGACATAGGTTTTTTTTTTTTTGTTTTTTTTTTTTTTTGTTTTTTCGAGACAGGGTTTCTCTGTGGTTTTGAAGCCTGTCCTGGAACTATCTCTTGTAGACCAGGATGGTCTCGAACTCACAGAGATCCGCCTGCCTCTGCCTCCCAAGTGCTGGGATTAAAGGTGTGCGCCACCATCGCCCGGCCTGACATAGGTTTTTGTGTTTCACATTTTGTCCTGATATGCACTTTAGGTCATACCTCATACATGTAGTCATAGACCAGGCCTTTTTCATCAAATGGGCATTCCCATTTACCCACAGAGTTTGGCAATGGGTCTTCTTCGTTCTTCCCTGATACAATGGATCGTATGAAATTATCAAAAGCAAGGCGGCCATTTGTATCACAACTTGCTCCAATTGACCAAATCAAGGAGAATATAAAACAGGCCTGTTGGTGAAAAAGTTAACTTATAGTGATTATCTTTAAAGAAAATTTAGAAGAAATAACTAAAATTTAATATATTAAACCTGCTTACATTACTGGAAAGGTCATGCAGATAAACGAAGTAGAGCTTGGTACAGCTAAATTATATATAGAAGCATTCCTTTGGCAATAGTGATAAAAACTTAAATACCTACACCAAATGGCCGAGGGACCTGTATTTAATTCGTCCTTAAATACACTCCTAGCAGTGAAATGACATATATAAAAACATTGGTTACATCACTATTTCTTCCTGGAAGTCTGGGTTATTTAGAGTATACCACACGTGCTGATGGATACACAGCTTTTAAAAATGATGCAACTCTGTACCAAGACATACTGCAAGTGAGATGCAAATTAGTAAATATCATTTGTAATATAATTAGTAATTAGTGACACATAAAATACGTACACAGGAAACTGTCTGTGTGTGTGTGTGTGTGTGTGTGTGTGTGTGTGTGTGTAATGTCTTTATAAGGCTATGTGGGGCACTAGAAATCATTGCCTTGAGGGTGCCTGGGAGATTGGTATGAATGGAAAATATGCTTTTGACTTTTGAATTTTATTCTATGTGCATGTCTTATCTGACTAAACAAAAACATCGCCCCCAACTCAAGAAACTAGACTCTAAAATGCTAATTAACCCAATTAAAAAATGGGGCACTGAAATGAACAGAGAATTCTCAAAAGAAGAAGTTCAAATGGCCAAAAGACACCTAAGGTCATGCTCAACCTCATTAGCAA